AAGTGCAGGCACTCCAACATAAATCCAGATACCAGTCAGCATAAAATGCTTCCCTTTCAGGGAAATGGAGCAAATGCTCAACGATGCAAATGACAGAGATTTCCCAGATGATCTTTCCCCTTTGCCTTCTTGCCTCTGTTGTTCTAAATATTGTTAGCCAAAATCAGCCAAACACAATCCAAGAACTTGCTTGATAATTCTGAACTCTTGGGTATTTTATATGTATCTGTGTATGTTTTTATCCAGTCAATAAGGGTGCCGATGCCCAAAAAATAAATAAAAGGAAAGCTTTTATCTTTTAATGGAGAAGATTCACAGATCTATAATAAACCCCATTTAACTTTTTTGTGTGTTTAAATTCACATGGGACCTCACTCACTCACAGACTATCAAAGCGAAAAGGAAGTTCAGCTCCCATGTCTGCATCTTTTGTTTATGGATAAGGAAACTGTCAGGAAGGAGAAATGACTCATCTACGGACACTCAGCTGGTTGATGGCAGAGCCAGAGCTGGAACCTAGAGACTGATGCTCTTCCTACCTATCCTGGGCTCCCCTGGAGACTCCTGCACTTCATTTACCCCTTCAGCTGTTCAGAGAAAACAGGCCTAAAAACACGAGCAGCAAGTCCAATGTGAAATCAGACTGGCAGTGGAAGTGAGTGAGACGTCAAACCATTCTTCCAGGAGAGTTCACATATTTGCCCTGTTGAGATGGTGACAGGTGACCAACGGGATGGAAAGCAGTGGAGAGAGTGACTGGCAAGCATCATGGATCAAAAAGGAAGATGACTTCAAATACCATTAAGAGATATGGATGAATGTGTGAGGTACTGACAGTTATCCTCCAAGCCGTCCTCAGAGTCCCCCTGATCTATTGCCCCATAGATACATCCAAAGCCTCACTGAAAGCAGGAATGTACCCTTCTCCATAGACACCTCATACTTCCCACCTCTGGGCCTTTGACTATCAATCACCCTCTGCCATACCTTTGGGAAAACTCCCTATTCTTTAATGCACAGGACAAATACTTCTCACAAAGTCTTTACAATCACCTTCTTCCTCCTGTTGCTTATTATTTCTCCCCATCTGGAACTTTAAAGATAGACTGTGACTCTTTTTCTTTGTTTCATTCTAATTACTTGTGGACAGTTCTTATTCCTCCAGTGAAAAAGAGTGGACAAACTCTTTTAGTTGTGCTCAATTATTATTATTATTATTATTATCATTATTATTATTATTACTATTTTGGTTGTTTCTTTCATTCAATGAATCTTTACTGAGCACCTTCCATATATATCAGGTGTCATGGTCCTTGACCTTAGGGCCTATAGGCCAGCAAAGGGACAAATACATTAGAGTCAAGAAGTGCTCACAGGGGTCAGGTGCAGAGTGGGGACAGCACCAAGTCAGAGCCCTTTATCACGTCACACTGGGGAGGTAGCCAGTAAAGGCTTCTAGAAGCACCAGCATCTACATAAAGATGTAAAGGACAAGTAGGAACTCATCCAGGCACAAAAGCTGGAGAGGCTTTTGAGATTGAGGCTGCCTTGTTGTCTAAATGGTCATATCATATGGGGGCCTTCTGACCTATGGAAGAAGGACTCTCCTAAGGAAGTCCTAAGGACTGGAGGAAGTCCACAGTGATGTCTATCCCTCTCAGTCTCCTGTAGCACTTAACACATGCCTAGAACATACTAGATATTTAAAAGAGAGTGATGACCACAGCATTTCAGACTGCTTTTTCATTAAGGCTCTCAGGGGAAATTCTCTGTTTACTAGTCAGGTACTCAACCAAGTCTCTCAGGAAAATAAAAGTACAAACACACTGAACTTTTGTTTCAGTAAGGAGAGTGGCTGACAATTTTCTTGATATTGGATATATTTATCCAAACAAGTGACATAGCTGAGATTACTTGACCCTAATAAGCCCACTAGGGAACAGCTGTGTGTCAGCCAAACAGAACTCAAGGAGTTGGGAGCCCTCTGTGAAGGACCCATTTCCAAAGCTGTCTGGAGCAGGAAGTGAGAGCCTGAGAGGGAGGTATGTATATAACTGGCCTTTCCAGACACCCTCACCTCTCAAAAAGACCCAACTGGACCCTCGACACACCCATAGGAAAGAGGCTTACACCAGGAGAACAGGAGGGAGGGGACAGGAAGTGATCCACCTGGTGTCTGGAGACACACCAGGAAAGGAGAACCAATTCTCAACAAGCCTGGCTTTCCAGTCAGCAAAGTCTCTGGTGCTCCCAGCTACCCTACTCTTGTCCTTGGTAGGAAGCAGGAAGCGTGTACCCTAGAGCTCACTCAGCACTCTGGCACTGTGCGCACTTCCTGTACACACTGGATCCTGGAATTTGGCTGTGGTGATGACTCACTCATGGCTCCAGGGTTCCAGGCACCTCAGATTGACTTGTGAACTACTCCTTTGTCAGACATTCCATTCTTCTCAACTAGCAATTTCATCACCTGTTCCGGCGAACTATTTTTTCTCTTAATCAGATAGACACTTTTTCTCTGAGTAGACATTTCAGTAGCACCTGTCCCAGGACAAGACAAAACATCTCCCAGGTACTGCTGCCTTCCTAAAGCCCCATAGTAGGAGATGGGGTAACCATCTTGTGCTGGATAGCTTTAGTTGTCAACTTGACACACCTGGGCTGAGGGAGCCTCAACTGGGGAATTACCTCCATTAGACTGGCCTGTGGCCATGTCTGTGGAGTATTTTCTTGATTTTTGAGTGATGTGGGAGGACCCAGCCCACTGTGGGAGGTGCCACCCCTGGCCAGTTTGTTCTGTATTGTAGAAGAAAGGAGCCTGAGAGGCTGGAGAGATGGCTCAGCAGTTAAGAGCACTGACTGCTCTTGCAGAAGACCCAGGTTCGATTCCCAGCACCCACATGGCAGTTACGAACCGTCCTTAACCCCGGTTCAAGGGGAATTTGAAGCCCTCTTCTGACCTCCGTGGCATTGCACAACATGGGTGCACTCATATACATGCAGGCAATACAGTCATACACATAAAATAAAAATAATAAATAACGGGGCTGGAGAGATGGCTCAGAGGTTAAGAACACTGGTTGTTCTTAAAGAAGACTCGGGTTCAAATCCCACATGGCCGCTAACAACTGTCGGTAACTCCAGTCCCAGGGGATCCAACAGCCTCTTCTGACCTCCGTGGGCACTGCATGACTCGGGTGCACTTACCTACATGCAAGTAATACACACATACAAAAAAAAAAAAAAAAAAAAAAAAAAAAAAAAAAAAGCAGAAAGCAGGCTGAACATGGGCCAGGGAAGCAAGCCAGTAAGCAGCATTTGTCCATGGCCTGTGCTCCAGCTCCTGCCTTGAACTCCCTGATGAATTGTGATCCCTGACCCCTGAGATGTAAGCCATATAAACCCTTTCCTCCCCAAGTTGGTATTGATCAGAGAGTTTTGTCACAGCAATGGAAACTAGAACACATCTGAACCAAGCATAGAAGGACGTTCTCACGTTATGGAGACTTACCACATACCACGTACCTTACTGACATCCCCTATTAAATTTGGTTATTACAGGGAGGAATGGACTGTTTGCTTCCATCCCTATTTTATACATGATAAACTATGGCTCAGGAAACTCAGTGCTTGCTAACTTTCAAGTGTCTAAGCCCAATTCTACAAAGGCATACCCACACTTAAACCACCTTCAGTGATTCCCACTCCGGACATACTGGCCTGTGGAGGTCTGGCCTGGTATGTCTCAGACCTCTGTGATCATTACTGGCATGGTGACACTACTGTGTCTGCCTGCCACTGTCACTGAAACATAGGCTCAAGAGAACCTGTCTAGAGACTAATACCAGCACACCTTGAACTAACACAGACCAAATAGAGCCTCAAAGAGAAATAAGGCTGGAAGTTTGAGGGCAGAGTATAGTCTACAGTGGTTACTGTATACAGCTGATAATAAATAGCTTAGAGACATCTTCAAGAAACCATCTGGTTCTAAGGAGGTTCTAAATTTTCCCTGTTCTAGAAGCAGTTTTAGATCTCCTACTATCATAGCTCTTACATCTTTCCTTTACAAGTGCTGATCATGTCCTCTGTCATATTCATTATTTCAAGGAATTTTCTGGCCCATGCTATGAAGGAGGTGATATCGTCATTTCAAAAGTCAGGAAACTCAGTCCCTGAGAGGGTGAACAATTCTCATCAGGACAGTAAGATGCAGCTGGTGCTCAAATCTGGTAACTATACCCAAAGTCTTTAATTTTTCTGGGTACAAACAACACAGGCAAAACTGAATGATCTTTCTACTTGCCAAAATCATGTCCCCTCAAAACACCGTAATGGCATCTTGGTCCATATGCTGAAGTCTTAGTAGTTCACTGAGAGATCATCACTCAAAAACCTGTCATGCCCACTCAGTGACCCTGAGTACACCAGGAGACCCTGCATCACTCCTCCTCAGAACCAAAATACTTCTGTTCAACTGTGAACAAGGCCCTTCACTCTCACACAAACATAAGACGAGACAAAGACTGGACAGCACTGAGTACTAGCCGTGTACCATGAGTTATGAAAACAGTGCATTTTACACACACACACACACACAAAACAAAAAACCAAAACCCAAAAACCACACCACACCCAAAGCCTGGTGTTCTCAGCTGTTAGTCAGAGCAAAGCAAAGACAATCTTCAAGACATGAATGGGACATGAGGGAAGCTTTCCTGCTCATGAGCTTTTGTATCAGGGCAGTAAGTACCAATGGAGGAATACTTTCAAAGCATCTCAAGGGACTAGAATACCTTTCCCTGAACTGTCCCCAGCCAACACCTCAGTCCACATTCCCTCCATTCCCTCCTGGCCATCCCTTTATTCCCAAGCAAGCAAACAAACAGGTCTCACAGGCACCCACTTGGCCTTGGTTGATGTACCAGGGGTGAGACATCTGGTCTGGCCCACCATGCCAAGCAAGAGGCCAAGGCACCCAGGTCATGCTGCAGGCCTACCTGGCTCACACCACTCTGAGCAGCCTTCCTGTCAGCCTCGATACCTCTGTGCAGCTCTGGGGGCCCAGCCTCCCATGCTGGGAAAGGGCTACCTGGAGGCTTGCAGGACCGGCTCTCCTCAGGAGCGTGGAACTCTGAGAGTCTCTGCTCAGAACTCAGGCACCTGACCACGTCTGAAGGTTTCAAGCAGCTCTTCTTAGAGATCTTGGGTCCACCAGGGCATCTCTCACCTGCCTTGCTCTCTGCTTTCCTCTCATATGGTCCATTCTCTTCTCTCCAGGGCTGTCTCTTGCTCTGGCTGCTAAAGGCATCACTAAGCTCCAAGATGACCCTATCAGAGCTTGCAAGCGGTGGTTGGGAGAAGCCATCTTGGTGGGTATGGAGACCACCATCACCATTGATGTGAAGAGGAGCCTGGGCACTGGGTACCAGGGAGTAGGCTTTACGGGGAGGAGGCAGGGCCAGTGGGGAAACCACTGAGCATGGTGTAGAGTGATCTGACCAACTTGAATAAGGGAAGCTGAGTGGAAGGGAGGGATGAGCCCTGGATGGCAAGGCCAAGTGGTCAGTGTCATAGACAGAAGCCTCAGGTAATGGAGGCAAGGGTGGGGTCACGGCCAGAGAACGCCTGCCTGGGACCCCAACAGTCAGCGAGATCCACTCAGAGGTGATGGCGTGCAGCTCAGGGGACAGGGCTCGGCGGGGGTGGGGCAGAGATGAAGGGGCTGGCATGATGAGCTTGCTGTGACTAGGACACTTAAGAAAAGGAGAGAGAAGAAAACAAAAGAAAGAAGCAAAGATAACAGTGTCAGCATAAAGGAAAGAGGAGGAAAATAATCATAAGGAGCATAAAAAGGAGCGAAATGGAGAAGATGAGCAAGACACACTGGTGTCCAAAAAGGAAATCATCTGGAGAGGTTGGGAGAGAACCCAGGAAGTGGTTGAGTGTGTGCACGAGTACATGCAGGTGGAGAGAGGAGAGGCATGTGGCATGGAGATGCGAAAGGCTCCCATTGGATGTTCTGGATGGTGCTGGCCTGCTTTGCAGAATCAGCTTTCAAAGAGATATACTTGGAACTGCCCCAACCAGGCCAACCCAACCATTTCTGCAACCACAGTCCTGACCCAGGGAAGGTGGACAGCCTCTGTCCTGGCCCTTCCTTCTTCCTGGCTCAGGAGTCTTCCAGACGGACGCATGAGTACTGTGGTCACTTTCTTTTGCAATCATTCTTGGTTATGGTCAAGTGAAAACTCCACAGAGTTCCCCAAGTTCTCACAGAGCAGACTGCAGCTCTCACTGTGAGGAAAACCCATCTGATCTCTCTAATGCTTTATGCCAAGTGCTCTCTATTGTGTCAGTGATGGGGGCAGAGAAATGGTTAGAGGATGAGAGAAAGAGGCATCATCTCAGCACTGCCCAGAGCCCCCATCCTCTGGCCATCCTCCTCCAACTTCATTCCATGGGAGGTCAGTCCACCATATCTCTCTTGAGCTCAAAGTTCTCATTTTTCTTGGCTTTGGGAAAGTGGGCATCTTTGGAAGACCATTTTAAAATAATTTTGTTCAAAATTAATGTTCAGAAAAGTAAACATCTCATGATACCTATAAACTACTTCCTTTTGGCACAGTAGAGATCGACAGACTAGAAGCTCCTTTTCCAGCCTGGGTCCAGTGAATGCTTGCCAAGTACTTTGAAACTGGTCTACATGTTTAAGGATGAGAACATGAAGTAGTCTTTCAATCACTGTCTTCTATAAGCCAATCTTGACAGACAAGATTGCCAAGAGAGCCACGGACTATGGGATTTATGATCAGGGGTTGTCTCCACACTACCAGCTTCACCCAGGAGGAACCAACTGATACTGTCTCTGGTTTTTCTTTCATGACTCACCTTATCCCCATAGCAATGTTCTCCCTTACACTTAGAGTGCTAGGAAATGCCATTTACATGTATGAAAATAATCCCCAGTCTGTATTGTTAAAGGCAGTTCTTAATCAGAGCACCAGAGAGCCATCGACAAAGCCAAGGATGAAAACTTAGATACCTGTGGGCTTGCAGTGGCACTGCGACTTGGGGAGGAAGAGTAAGGCAGGTCAATGTAATCCACGGGGTTTTTCACCAGTGGCCTCTTCAGCACATCCACATAGGTGATGGGGAAGATGCCTTGACGAGACGTCCCCGGAATCCTCCCTTCGTACCAGTTCTCATCCACCTGTCGGAGCAGAGTGATCCTCTCGCCCTGTAAGACACAGTTAGGTAAGAGTCCTTAGTCTACCACACCTCAGCCCATTCGAACCACTGCTTGCACCCTTTACTGTCCTGTACCTTTACCATACCCTGTGCTCAGAAGAAACCTTCCTTGCTGGACCCAGATGGAGTAGTAGGCTGGGGGCTAACACAGTAGAGCTCCCTTAACCAGGAAGTCAAGCTTGATCAATAAAGAGATCAAGATTTATGCCCTTAAACTGGAAGGCAAATGTAGCTTTTTAAACTCATTTAGAGCAAAACAATCACATGTTCAATCTTCATCTGTAAGGTAAAAGTTTTGGAGGGGTAAGTTTTATTTTGGTTTTGGTTTTCTAGTTGGTTGGTTTGTTTTGTTTTTGAGATAGGGCCTCACATTCACTTATGTAGCCCAGGCTGTCCTTTAACTCATGATAATCTTCCTGCTGCAATCTTTAGAGTGCTAGGATTACAGGTGTGAGCTACCAGGCCTGGCTCAGAAGGTTATCTTCATAGTTTTACATTTTTTGTGCATGATGGGGTTAGGGGAAGTGTAGCACAGCATGCATGTGGAGGTCAGAACATTATTTGGGAGAGTTAGTTTTTACCTTTTACACCATGTGGATCCTGGGGATTGAAGTCAGGTCCCAGGCTTATAGCATGTGCCTTGGCCTACTGAGCCACCTCTAGAAGGTTATCTTTAACTTCTTTATATACCTTATTTTTAAAACTTTTAAACATTTACTTATTTATTGATTTATTTATTTAATGTGTATGAGTGTTTTGTCTGCATGTATATAAGTGTGTCCATGTTGTACAATGCTCACAGAGGCTAGAAGAGGGTTTTAGATCCCCTAGAACTGGAGTTTCAGATGCTTTCTAGCCTCCATGTGGATGTTGTATATATTTAGAAACAGGATCTTGCTATGTAGCCCAAGTTGACCTTGAACTCAATTCTCCTCCTGCCTCTGCCTCCCAAATGCTAGGATTATAGATATGTGGAATCAAGTCTCATATAATTCTACATTTTTATAGATTTTGCACAACTTAATGGTCCACTACAGTTACCTGTTACTGGGCAATTAGGTTGTTTCTAGTTTCTTCTTTCTACAAGATTGCTTATCTTTTCCCAAGGCATGTGCTACCTTCCCTTGAGTCCCAATAAAAGTAGTAATTCTAATAACTTTAGCAAGCTAGAGAATTTTGAAATGTAGAGAATGTCTGAATCCTTGGGATTCAGAAAAAGATATGCCCCCACAGGTCCTTGTGTTCATAGTATGAATGTTGAGCTCCTCTGCAGCAAGAGCAATGGTAGTGGCAGTGCTCCCTCCCGTAGACTGAGCACCGACCAGATGGCACACCGTACACTGGCAGTCTCACACAGGCTGCTTCATTGAGGTCTTATAGCTGCTCTAGGAGATGGCATTCTCTCTTCTTCTTCTTCTTTTTTTTTTTTTTATGAGGCAACAGAAGCTAAGATTAAGTATTTACCTCCCCACAAACTGATAACCTGTGAGTTTTGGATTCAAAGCTTTTGAGCTCCTGGAATGAATGCCCTTGTTTTCCTCACTGGGTTTATGGATATATTGTAAGCCTGAATCAAGTCACCAACACAATGTCATCACTAAATATTGGCTGAATACACTTTATACATGATATCTAAGCTTCCAGAAATACTGCCTTTAATTGATGAGCTGAATATATTTAAAATCTTGAGTAGTGTAGTTTATTTTTTAAAATAGAATCTCACCTCAGAGAATCCTCCAATTCCCCTTATTGCAATTTTTGATCAGTGTCATTGTGTGTTCTTAAGTCTATAGACTGGTACTCCATAGCTAACCGCTGCCCCCAGAAAACAGCACCATCCAAGGACCCCAAAGCTGGGATGAGATGGGTGACTTACCTTTCGGAAAGACATTTCTACTTGCGTATCACCATTAAAGTTAAACTTAGCGATGGCTTCTCCATATTCCAAAACCTGCACGGGTGCCAACTTTCTGGGCTGAGCCTTCTCAGCAGGAGGAAGGAGCTGAGAAAGGAAAATAAGCAAAAAAGAAGAGGGAGAGGACAAGGAGAGGGATAGGAAGGAACGAAACACAAGGACTTGGTAAGCAGAGCGTTCTGGGCGTTGGTGGGCTTTTTCTGAAGAGGAGGAGGAAGGGCTGTGGTACCTCAATGTAGGTACGTGGGAAGATTCCCACCCGGCCGTGGTGTTCACCTTCATACCAGTTCTGATCAATCTGCTTATAGATGTAAACAATGTCTCCCTTCTGCAGAGGCAGCTCCCTGTTGACAAAAGGCCACTGCCTTTTAGCAGATGTTTCAATATATGCACCATGAAGACACTTTAGCTTTTAGCAGCATGAAATTTAAATTACAGAACAAGAGGGTTCCATATTTGGAAGTGAGAACCCCATTCTTCAGGAAATTACATAGGTTGGGCATTTTTCCAGTCTTCTGTGAGATGGGCGTTTACATACAAACTGACTAGCACTAGAAAGTATTCAGGGCCTAATGAGTTTGCTGTGGTTTTCTCAGGCCATCTGTCCTAGAGATTTACCATAACAAAGCCCAGCAGTTTTAACTGATGTTTGTTCAATGGTGACAAGCATCTCTGTCTAGATGCCTTCACTATGCCTGGGCTGCTCTAAATTACCCAGGACACACGGACATCCTCCTGTCTGTCCATTCAGTCTCTGTCCTACTCACTTCGCCCCATCTCTATCAGTACACAGTGGAAAAGCTCTCAAGTTTGGCAGATCTGGACTGAAACCAAGTTCTAAATTTACAAGTTCTGGGATTCTGGACAAGAAGCTTAATCTCTCTAAGATAACTCTTCCTTGATGTGACCACAGTGGCTCACTCAAGGCTGGAGAACACGACCACCAACTGCAGAGCACCAGCACAGTGCTTTTCATCTAGTCACGAATGCTCCTTCCTCCCTTCCTTCTCAATGTGGAAAATAGATCTCAGAAAAAAAAAAAAGATGTTTTTTCAAAGGCTCTTCATGTTTTTTTTCCCCCTCACTGTTCCATATGCAGCTCTTTGTTTGCCTCAGCTGTGACAGTATTATCATCTAGCCAGGATACTTTCTGTTTTTAGGAGATACAAATGAATTTTGAACAGTGAAAATGAAACAGAACAGAATTATAACTTGAAATTTTCTTTTTTTGTCTTTTTCTCCCTATAGCCCCAGCTGGCCTGAAACTCACTATGTAGACCAGGATCAGGTTGGCTTTGAACTCACAGAGATCTGCCTACCTCTGCTTCCTGAGTGCTGGGATTATAACTTGAAATTTTCGTAAAAAGTAAAATGATCCAATTTTTTCAGTTACAGAAAACCAACATCATAAGAAGGTTGCTGACTCTAAGTTGGAAGGGGTACACAGGCTTTGCTGTGTGCCAGGAAGTCCCACAGTACATAAGAGCTAAACAACAGGGTACATCTGGAAAATTTATACAATGTCAGCTCTGCCCTAGATAAAAATACAAGTAGGCTCTGTGGATCTTGTATTTGGAGACAAGAGTCTAATCCTAAAGGCACTTGTAAGGAGGTCCAGGGCATTGATTTCTGTGATAAGGAACGTCTCTGGCCATGTTTTTGCCACCGTCTTCTCCTTGGGAGTATTCTAAAGTCCCCCCACCCCTTTAAACTCCAACTATACATACAAAGATGAGCAAGACCCTCAGCACATCCACCCCTGTTGGGAGTGTGTAAACTGTGAGGTCACCTACACTGAGGGCCTTATACGCAGAGGCAGGTGGGGGCTGAAATAGCAAAGGAGGAGAATGACTACTCTAAAAGAGATGAACATGGACAGGTCTGTAGTTGTGGCCAACTGAGAGAAATAACAGGGTTCGTGAGGGTCAAACCCAGGCACCTTGGTATCAGAAGCTGGGCTCTTATGCGTTGTGCCACCCAGCCTCTTCCTGTATAAGGGCTCTGTTTGCTTAATTAGATGGCAGCTTGATCTGACCCATGCCTTCCATGTACTCCATCTCTAGGAGTACAGCTCCACCAATATATTCCTGCTAGCCCCTCCTAAAGACCCACATGCTCAAGGACTGGGAAATAACAGCAGGAAATGTTTTCAGGTGTAGACAGTCATTTGCCATTGCAACAGGATGTTGTCACCTGCAAATTCAAGCTCTAGAATCACAAAATAATAAAGTTCCTCTGAAAAAAAAAAATCATACAAAAGCCTCATAATGTTTTAAGTTTATGATTTTGTGCCAGGTTAGTGCTCCTTGGCTACATATAGACCATGAGCCATGGGTTGGACACACCTGATAGATGTTTGTTGGAATGGTGTTGCATATGTGAGCACAGCAGAGGCTCTGTGAGTCTAGGAGATGAGGCCTGATTGACTTTGTTGAGCCAAATGGCCCCAGAGAACACTTTTTAAAGGAATACACTGTGGAAAGATCACATGGCTAGAGGACTTAAAAATAAAACTGAATGAATGGGCCGGGTGTGGCGGCCCACACCTTTTATTCCAGCAGAGGCAGGTGGATTTCTGTGAGTTCAAGGCCAGCCTGGTCTACATAGTGAGTTCCAGGACAGCTGGGGCTACAGGGAGACCCTGTCTCGAAAAGACTGAATGAATCCAGTATTTACTCATTCTACTAAGTTCCACTGACTTTGTTACAGAGGTAGAATGTCATGAGGAAGACATGACTAAGGAGGAAGGAAGGGCTCTCTGGCATTAATAGTGGTGATAAATGGTGACAACTCCTGTAGAGCTCAGCCTCCTCATCTCTTTTATCTAAGGGGCAAAAGGGGCAAAAAAAAAAACCTTTTAAAATGAAATCTACAAAAATGTATTATTACTCAAATCTTTAATTACAAATATTTTTTCTTTTTATTTTATGTGTATGAGCATACTGCCTCATGTATGTAAGTGCATCCGTGTAATGCAATCCCAGCGTAGGTCAGAAGAGGACAGTGGATTTCCCGGAACTAGAGTCATGGATGATGGTTAGCTGCCATTTGGGTGCTGGGAACTGAACCCGGAACTGAACCTCTGCAAAAGCAACCAGTGCTCTTAACCACTGAGCCATCTCTTTATCCCTTCAAATTCTCAATCTAAAGGAAAAATGTTATCTATTGGATTAAACTGCAAATTAATCCATATGTCTTTGTTATTCTCTCTCTGGCTAAAAACTGAGGGTAGTGGATAATATACTTTGAGTGCTGACTTCTGCTACACTTTGAAAAATGTCTTCCTGGCTTCACCCTGGCTAGCCTCCTTGTGAAGGACACATTTCTATTCTCATCTTGCAGATGAGGAGAACTGAGGGTGAGAGAGGCTGCTAACTTGACTGTGGTTACAGCGAGAGAAGTCTCAGAATGAGAACTTTCTCTCAAGCCCACAACCTTTGTAGAACAGACATCACACAGCAGAGCTATCTCTTTTAGTGGATAAATTAAAGGAATGGAATAATACAACGACGTCAGATTCATGTCTAGGTTCTAGAAACTTGGCCTGGTCACTCATTTTGTGTTACAAGAGATAGGAAACACGATTGAGAAGCTTCTAGCCAGCATTTCCCATTATTCATGAATTCGCCTTCTTTTCCCCAGATGTGGTGTCTGCCGTCAGCAGGACAATGGGACGGTGACTGGTTATGGTATCTTCGGCTGCCAAAGGAAACTATGGTGTTTTAATCCCTAATTAGATATAAAGCTAGCGAGTTCCTTTTGGAACCCATCTTTGGGTTTCCAAACTGTGTTCCATGGAAAATAGGAAGGTTTCCTGGTCACCTAAATTTAGAAAACACTTGGCTAACTAAATAAGCTAATCAGCTTCCCTCCTTAAAAGATTTCCACAGCCATGAATGTGCCAATAGCAGTCTATTTCTCTCAGGGGCAGGAGGACCTAAATATAGTATGCAGTAGTTCTCTGAGTCATTTTCTACAGCAGGACTAGCTTTTTGAGGACCATCTTACAGGGTGAACACTCTGAGGAACACACTGGGGGCCTTTAACCTTTGGGAATGATGTGGTGAAACTAGTGAAGTTATAATCCTACAGTCTGGTTCTGGTTCCTTCATTGAAGGTATGGATCAGATCAAGCTGGCACCTAAATCAAGCAAACAGAGTACCCACACAGGAAAAGGCCAGTGTGACACAGTGCATAGGAGCCCATCTTCTGGTGCCAAAGTTCCTGGGTTTGAATCCTGACCCTGTCACCTCCGAGGTGGGACAAGTTCCTTTGCATTGGTTTCCTTACTTGTAATAATAGAAATAACAGAAATCACTCCATAGGACTCAGTCAGTTCTTATTCACAAGAGCCACATGAGTTAACACACACAGTGTGTTTTCAACAGTGCCTAGCATATAAACTACTGTTTTTTTGAGTCATTCTTGTTATTTCTTGTGGTTCTTTTTAACAAGCAAACTGTATTTTCAAAGAGGCAGTTAAGAACAAATAAACATGACCAGCAGCACTTACTTTAGTGTCTGAGCTTTAAAGTCAAATTTGGCTCTGGCAGGTCTCATCTAAATATAAAAAATAATGATGAGTTGAAAGTCATGATTCATGAACAACAAAAAGGACACATTTTCACAAGTTTCTAGAAAGCAAAGCAGAAAAATTCACTCTAATCAGTTCATTCTGGTATAGAAATCTGGGCAAAATTGCAGCATCTTACCTCACTAGAACATGAGGTGGATGTTTAGTCAACCGTGTCATGCGTGAAAATTCCCCTTCAAGAAGGCCAAATTTAGATGGTTTGAAAAGTCCCAAAGCTGAAGTATTTGTCCTCCAACCGTGAGCCAGAAGTCCTCAGAAAGGCTTTACCTACTTAGTATCTTACTTCTTGGGGAACATCTATTTGCCTGACTTAAGTTCTGATCTGAAAGTTGATGAAACTCTGGTTTACCTAGAAGGTCAACTTCTATTCCATATATCCCTATGGTCTGTGACGTCATCCAAAAAGTCAGCTAGAGTAAACTCAGAGTGCATCTCCATCTGCTGAAAGTCTGTCCCAACTGGGACAGCCTCTCCTCCCAGACACCTGTGCCGCCTGGAAGTCAGCCTCAGCTATCTCCACATTCTCGTCAAGTCTGTTAGTAAGTCACGCCAGCTTGCCCTCAGTCCACAGCCCTGTTGCTCAGGGTCTGACCTCTGGTTCCCACAGACACAAAGCTTCCTTTGATTTTATCTTCTCCTCACTGGAATCTAATGTCACCCCAGGAGCACAAATAACATTCCTCAAATTCTTCCTTACATCACTTTTTTGCTTTGATGTTGGCTTCGCCTCTCAACTATTCATCAGATCAAATCTCCATTCCCAAGGCAGTGGAGGCTAGTGGGTCACTTCTTCCCTCTTACCCAACTGTCTTCATCTCTTGTCACTCTATCCTGTCAGTCAGGAACATCTATGTGCTTACCTCTCTATATTCCTTCCCTGCCTGGAATTTCTTCAGCTTCAACTCTAGCAAGAACTTCACTTTTACTTAGATCTATTTGCATATCTTTCTTAATTTTTAAAAGTAGTTATTTTAATCAATTTTTAAAAAGAAAGATGTGAAAATTAAAAAAAAAAAAACAAAAACCAAAAACCCCACAATAATAGGCTATGCCTCACTACCAGTGTAACTCTGACCCCAGGCCATGTGCAGCTCTGACCTCTTCAGCTGCTCTGGCCTTCTGTCTATCATATCACTATGACTGATATAAAATGGCAGGCTTGCTTCCAGGTTTGAAGGTATGAGCAGAGTGGGAGGGAACTCTCAGGGTGAAAAAGGTGCCTTTGGTCCTAGGGCCTACATTTCCAGGTTTCTTGGGTTGGGATTCATAGGGGTCTTCTTAGGGATATTTCACCACAGGAACTTTCACTGGAGCCCAGTCTGGTCTTGAGCTCCTGATCTTCCTGCTTCTACTCCCAAATGCTGAGATTAAAGGCCTGTGGCATTAAGACTGACTCTCCACAGAATTTTTAATTTTGTACCTTTTATGCTGCTGTTTCTGTCTATCTATATGCATACATCTTAGGGGCAACTGAATGACCATCTTATACTCAAATCAATGCCACATAATCTCAATGCTTGTATTTATGACTGTTTGTAACAAAAGAGCATAATTTAACAGCTGTAGGTAAATAAGAACAGAATGGATATGAGATTAATGATAAAAGTTCACAAGAGAAGACCCAACAACCAAAACTGTAATGACAAAAAGTTCATAGAAAGATCAGTTAAAAGTGTAGAGATAGGTCACCCATGTCACCCAGCTATTCAGCTATGTGAACATTACAAAATTTATACAAAGAAGCACATATTCACTCTCTGAATAGTCTTGAATTCCTGATCCTTCTGCCTCCACCTCACAAGCACTGGGATTACAGGGGTGCCCCACTAATTATATATGAAGGTGATTTTTCTACTACCAGCTCCCCAAAGACACAAACTGAATTCTGGTTCCACTTTACACAAGGTCTTACATAGAATTTGTGGAACTGGATTCTGTCAAGTGAGAATGCAACATATCTACATAGCACAGCATAACCAGCACTTGCTGGTCTCCACTTCCTCAATTCTGTCAGTCAACTTCTAGGACAATGATTCTCCAAATGTGGACCTTAAATACATCATCACATCACCTAGAAACTTGCAAATTCTCAGACCCCACCCCAGATCAAAACTTTGTAGGTGGGTCCCAGGAGTTTTCATTTTAATTCATCTTTAGGGGTTCTGACACAAGTTGAGAACCATTACTTGTGGAGGTAGGGTCTGTTAGAAGGTACCTACCTCTGCCAAGCTAAGAATTCTTATTTTTTCCTAGATACCTTTTATTTCTTTTTGTTTGTTTCTTTTTAGAGACAGGGTCTCTCTATAGCCCCAGCTGGTCTGGAACTCACTATGTAGACTAAGATGGCCTCAATCTTACAGAGAGCCACCTGTCTAGGATTAAAGGTGTGTACCACATGTCCCTCTCTTCCTTCCTTCCTTCCTTCCTTCCTTCCTTCCTTCCTTCCTTCCTTCCTTCCTTCCTTCCTTCCTCCCTCCCTCCCTTCCTTCCTCCCTCCCTCCCTCCTCCCTCCCTCTTTTTCAAAAGGACTGTCTCTGTCACTCAAAAAACAGAAACATTAGTTATATTAAAGGTTACAAAACTACTTCATTATGCCACACCCCCTCTGCCCCCAGCAAGCCCATTCTATGCCATAGACACGACCTCAGCAAGGCTACTTAAGGGTTATGTGGCAAAATGTCAACTCTTACTCAAGAGGCTGCATTTGGTCAGAACAAGATTTCTATGATACTGATCTCAGAGTAGGAGGCAAGACCTGGATACAACCCCATCACTGTTTTGTTCTTCATTCCTTTGATAATATTAAGCTTTTGTAGTCTAAGCTTAGAAATGTCAAAATTAAGGGAGCAAATAAAATGACTCTCAGAGCATTCTTGGACCCTCCATGGATTTATACTACCTGCAAAAGCCTGGGTTTCAAACTCCTTCAGTGAAGTGCTGCAGCACCACTGAACCATCCACACACCAGCAGCAGAACTGTGCTCCGATACTTCAACAGCAATGCCACTAAGTGTAGGGGCCTTTGTTAATGCCATAAAGGATCACTAGGTAACTTTGTTTCTTTGAGACAGATCTCACCATGTAGCCCTGGCAGGCCTCGAACTTGCTCTGTTGACCAGGCTGACTTCGAAGTCACAGAGAGCTACCTGCCTTTGCCTCCCAAGGACTGAGATTAAAGGTATGTGCCACCGCACTAGGTAACTTTAATAATAGAAGTTCCATTAACTATCTCTTATCCACACCAGAGCTACTGATGCTCATGGCCCAAGGGACATGGTTTCCAAGCAGAATGCAAGGCAAAACAGTACCACAGTCAAATGCAGGATGGAGAGGACTGGACTCATGAGGCAGCCAATGCTGTAAGCATGCATTAGGGGTGTGTGCCAGCAGATCCCGGTCCCACAGCCAGGCATGCTTGAACATACAGAGCACAGGACATAATGGGGTTCATGGCCATTCACCAGCCACAAAAGAGCCAAAGCGAGGCTAAGGAAGCCAGGATGACAGATGCCATTTGGAAAACTAAACTGGCCTAGAGAGGGCAATGCTGAAGGGAGGCAAATATTGCTTTGGGTCAAGCAGCAGTTTGAGGTGACCAAAACAGACCTCTGACCCAGATTTCCTTTTTGCAGTATCGTCTATATTGAGGAGGTCCCCAAAGCGCTCATTAGTGATAAACTGATGATGCGTCGGGATGACACCCGTGTGGCGTCGAGCTGCAATATCGGCTTCTTCTTGCTCGCGCTTAAGTCGTCTCTGGTCCGCTAAAAGTTTCTGCCATGAAATTGCATAAAATGGGCGGTGAATTAACTGCTCCAGCTTAATGAAAAATGGCCATATAAGAAGAAAATACAGGTGAACAAGGAGGAGACTTTGAGGATCAGATGTCAGGGGCACTTATGGCCACAACTACTATGTTCCCATGGTAACTGTCCACTATGCAGAAAGGAGAGAACATGGCCCAGGAGAAACTGGGGACACTGGGATATGGGGAAGGATGATTCTAAATAACTCCACTGACTGGCTGACTACCCTTGGGCTCAAACCAAACCCTGTGAACCTCTTGGCAGCAAAGTTCAGGTGACCCAAGGCAAAAGCCTGGGCATTACAATCAAACTAGGCTGTACCATCTGCTTTGGTCTATGATATGGTGGCACAGTGTGTTCCCAAGGTAGAACCAGGGCCTGCTGTTTTCTCCTGACTACACCAGGCCTATCAGGCTATGAGACCTGACTATGCAGCAATTGGGTCATTTCTGTGCTTCTTGTGACTATTACTATACCATGTCCTCCACAGAGTTGAGCTTCCCCTTTCAGAAAATGTGGCACCTCTTCTCCTGGGACAGCCAACTTTCCCCGAGCATCTGTTTTAGGAGCCCTTAGGATATACACCAAAGACTCTTCATGTGGCTGACAGAGGGTCGGTCTGTCTGGTTACTGTTTTATTTCTACATTTGATGAAATGAAGCTAAGTTTAAGAGAATGGTATAGAATACAATAGAGAAAATTAACAATAATGACACCTGGGGTTAGAAGAAATCAACACTTCTATATTAAGTAATAAAAAGTACATGTGGTTGGGAGGGAGAATTGGTAGGGAACATGGAAGGGGCTGAGGGGGAGGGAGCGGGAGATGGAATTGATCAAAACATTTTATATTTGTATGAAATTCTCAAACAATAAATAAAAATATATTTGAAAAATAATAGGGGCTGGAGGGATGGCTCGGCAGTTTAAAGCACTGGCTGCTCTTGCACAGGACCCAGGTTCAATTCCCAGCACCCACATGGTAGCTAACAACCATCTGTAATTCCAGTTCCAGGGGATCTGACACCCTCTTCTAACCTCCATGGACATTGCACGGGTGCACTTATCTACATGCAGGCAATATACTCATATACATAAAAATTAATAAAATGTTTAAAAAAAGAAAAATAATCATCTAGTTCTATTAAAGATTTTTTCAAATAATCCACATTTTTTTAAACCAAATATCTTCCCTGCCTTATTGCAACAGCCATGCATAAGTTAATGCATTTACTTATAACACAGTAATTTTCATTCCTAGAATTAACACTCCTTATAGGAAAGCATTCATTGGAACTGGTAATCCTTTTTAAAAAATATTTTATTATTTTAATTTTTTTATGTGTATGAGTATATTGCCTGCATGTATCCATGTACCCCTGCATGCAATGGCTGCAGAGGACAGGAGAAGGCATCAGATCCTTTGGAACTGGAGTTACAAAAGGTTGTTAGCTGCCGTGTGGATGCTGAGAATTGAACCTGGGTCCTCTGCAAGAACATCCAGTGTTCTTTACCACTGAGCCATCTCTCCAGGCCCTCCAGCAGGCAATTAAATGCCACATGTGACATCCAGCTCCAAAGGATAGTGGCTAAGTTTTCCTCTATAGTTTGGAAAACACAACTCATCAAATGGCCGTGGTGTTTCCAGTGCTCAGGAAATACCGTAGAGTAAATGAGAAAGGATGAAAATGTGCTCTGCAAAGCACAGTGCCATGAAAGGAATGCTCGTCTAGGATGTGGAGCCTTAGTTTCTAGCTCTGCCTCTAGTGTAAGCACACTGCTGAGGAGGCCCTGTTCAAGCCATAAACTTTCTGGATAAAACAGGGAAGTTGGTTTGATGACCACTAATGGCCCTTCTGGAATAGTCATGTTCTCCTTTTCTGAAGTGCCATTATCATGACTATTTACAGTAAAGGATTTGCATCAAAGGGTGCAGACCTCATGAACTGTTTCTGTAGCAGTGGGAACGGACTCATGCTTGAGACTGTCATAGTCCCTCTCAAAAGCCCTGATGCCTTGGCTGACAGTTTACATCATCAGTGGTGCAGATATCAAATGGAAAGTGCTTTCAACCAGTGCTTAAACCTGACTTAGTAAAGCCATCAGGCCTGTGGTTTAATCACACAAGCCCAAACCCATGGGTAAAGACAAACCACTTCAAGATCTGGGTACCAGCACTGTTGAGGAAGCCAACTGCTCATATTGAATATGAAGCTTTTAGTGTATCAGTGGTTAAACCAAGTAAAATACGCCTCCTAGTGGGTAAGACTTTGACACCAAACCTTCCACGTGGGGTACTCAGATTTTAGTATTAAAATGGAATTTCATCTTTCCTCTGATGGCATGGGAATTTTTTTTTCTTTCAGTGATGAAACAGGTATAGAAAAGTATGGAAAGGAATCTGTTCTGTGTTCTGTTCAGCAAATTTCTAATTACAATGCCTAAAACCATGCTAAGGGCACGGCAGGCAGGGAAGAGGCATAGTGTGCATTTGTCTTTCATCATTTAGTAGCAATGACTGTAATCAGAGTCCTCAGAGTCAGCCTTGTCCTAAATCCTTAAGTAAATCCACCTAAACTCTGGAGCCACTCAAGACAGATCGAATAGAAAAGAGGGAAGGGAAAGAGTTGTGCTATTTGAACATACTCCTCTACTGAGAGCAGTTCAAAGTAATTCTTGCATGTCTTAGCTCATTACAGGAAAATGGACATTGGGCTTGTCTAATCTATGGGATCCACCTTCTCTCCCTTCCTGGGAATGTGAAACCAGAGCATATGCATTGTAATGCTTTATCACAGCAGAAGCTAAAACTGCACATTCAGCTGATATGCAGGACAACTTCCTCCATTCCCAGGAGATCAGGCTTTTCCAAACCCTGACAATCATCCCACATAGAAACATTTCAGTAGTTCCAAGAAAATAACCAAGTTCTGAAGTTCCGTGTGGAGTTACCAACACTAACGTAGGTATCTCCCTTCTGAGTTACAGGTGACAGAGTTATAAGCAATGTCTTAAAATTGTTTTCTAAAACATATCTTGCTCAGTATTATCATTTTTCTGTTTTTTCCTACTGCAGCCCTCCTCAGTTTGAACTATGCTTTGTGCCAATTACAGGGATGAGGGTGAACAGTACTGAAGGAATGGGAGAGTGAGTTTCCTTAGACAGCAGGTGACCTGCTGGGAGGAGGGATCAAAAGGTCAACTCCCATTTCCAAGCTTTCAAGACACAAGACATTAAATATAGTACAGGCTATATCCTTCATTACCTTCCTACAACAGTGCTGGAGGAACATAGCATTTATAACCTGGTGACTATGGGGAAATCAGTCAGTCCTGCTTTACTTAAAAGTAGACTGCTGAGGAATGGAGGGAGCCTGTGTCTTATAAAAAACAGCCTGTGGGGAAAAACCTGGTCTTTGCTTCCAGTTGGGTCACAGGTATCTGGAATATTCATTTCCTTCACGTTTTTCTTCTGCAGGAAAGCAAAGAAGTTAAGACAGGACAGTTACCTCTTTATCATCATGACGTCTTCGGATAAATTCTTCTGTGGATTCCAAATAATCAGCTGGTATAAAATGTCTTGGTGATTCTGAATCTTCAAAACAAAAAAGTAAAGTTAAAACGGGCAAAGATTTAGTAGGAAACCAGGTTTCTTCTGTTATCTGTCAGGGTTTTATAATCATTGCTGATTAATGATCAGTAGCCAAGTTCTGAAGGAACCCCACCTCCCACCTGTTTTTTGAATTTACTTGCAAAGTGGTTCAATACAAAGATGAGAGCTCAGAAGGCAAAAAGTGAGCAAAGAGAGGGATATTGTTTTTACGTGTCCCTACAAAGAGGCGTGCAGGCTGGTACAGGAACAGACTGTACACTCACACACAGGGGCTACGGGAGAGAGGCTGCCTCTCAAAAAACCACCGGGAATGGGAGGGGTGGGGATCGATGCAAACGGGCTTGAGAGTTCAAATGAACCCATTTCTTGGATGAGCTAAACGGCCAATTTTTCTTTCGAAACAGTTTGGTGGTTAGTCTAAATGACGCGGGGCTTTGTTTTAAAGTGCAGCCACTACAAGCCATGGTTAATTGCCAAGCAAAACAAACAGAAGCAAAAGACAAGGCAGATGATGAGCACCAACTGCACACGAGAGGAGGGACAGAGCAAGCCAAGCGGAGACAGGGAAGGGGAGACTGGTCAGACACACAAAATGCCACCTCCGTGGGCCGCTGCCAGTTCGCTTTGTGGGTTGTTGTTCCTGTCCAGGTCTGAGTAGGGCACCGGGTTCCCATTATTAATGGCCCCTGCGCAATCCTCCAGGCCTGCAGATTTGTCGGGAGGGGGCTGTGAGCTGTGGCTAAGCCTGGCCATGGTGAGTCGGGAGGACAGTCGAGTGGGAGCCAGGGGCTTCCCCGCAGGGTGGGGCTGGTTCTGAGGGGCCTGGCTGGGGAGGTCTGGTTTCCGGCCCGCAGGGGGGCCTGAGTCACCACTGGGAGAAGGCTGTCTGGGGTGATGCTGGAGGGGCTTTTTCAATCGAAAAGGTAGGGGGCTCATCAGGTAGATGTTCCTAAGAAGGCTGTTCCTGTCCCCTCTGGAATCTGGGCGCCAGTCGGGCTGCCTGGAGGACTGCTGCTCGTGCTTCCGGATAGTGGTGAAGCGCGTGTATGAGGCTGGGCAGGTGCCCTTGCACTTGTTGAGGCGATGTTTGGGGAAGTCTCCATGAGCACTGCTTCCACTGCCCTCTCTGCTGTCATTCGAGATATTTGAACAGTGGTCCAGCTCGTCTGAGCAGATGGAAAGGGGCTCGGAAGGCACAAGGCTCCTGAAGCTCAAGGCATGGTCCGCCATGTTGCTGCACGTGGGAGACGTGTAGACCCTTCCGGAGTTCATCCTGTCCATCTCCCTGGGACGGAGCTTGGTTGACTCAAGGAGGGACTCGGCTGAGCGGGCTGAGGTTAGGCCACTCCGAGACAGCACTGGTGTGGGGGACTTGCTCAGCCTGCCAGACAGGTCCAGAGAAGGCATGGACCTGGACCTCTGAATGAGCTGCTCAAAAGCGGTGATGCGGGAGGACACGGTGTGCTTTGGGATGTGCTCTGAGCCCTCTTGGCTGGCACCCAGTTCACCCCTGGCCAAGGCCAGGCTGCTCCTTTCAAAGTGGGAGGCAAGATCTCGCACACTTAAGGAGGAGATGGAGCCCAGGGAGAGGCCAGCTCTGTTGATCTGGTGCATGTCGCGATAGAACATGGAGAAGTGCAGCCCAGCCTTTTTCGAGAGAGGGCAGGGCCTCCTGGCACTAGTGCCATACTCCTGAAGGCTCATGGTGCTACTGGACTTACTGTCGTAATCCCGCCGCGAGCGCATGAGCAGGTTCTCGACGCTCCCCCCCACCTGCAGGGGAAGGCTTCTTTTGGAATCATTCAAAGAAACACAGAGGTTCTCACAGCTCTGAGCCTTCTCTGAGGGCAACAGGACACTCTTCTGTTCCTGCAAAAGAGCACTGGGAGCAGAGAGCCTGGGTTTGAATTTAGAAGGAAGGATCTCTGAAATGCAGGCTTTCGCAGCCGACAAAGGTTTCTTGTGTTTACACCCAGGGCCTAAGGCATTGCTAGGGTGAAACGTTCGACTATGAACTGATGATGAAGAAATCATGTGAGCATTCCCACCTTTACGATCCACCGGTAAGCATGCAGAATAAAATAAACAGACCCATTAGGTTAAAGCTGAAAGCTGCTTTTTTTTTTTTTTTTTTTTTTTTTCTTTTAAAAAAAAGGAGAGGTAACATGCTCATTTGTTATAAGGGCTTTTAAATTGTTTTCAGTTGATGTCTGGAAGCAAAATAATCTGTGCTGCAAAGCAGGTGCAAAGATGCAATGAAAGAAATGGCCACCTTGTCAGTTAGGAAAGGCTGAAGCTCAGCTCATTTCTAAGAAAAGGGAATTAGAACAAAAAAGAGAGGTGTTTCAGGAAGAGCCCCTTGGGTTAAGGGAGGGAACCATTAATACCAGAAAGAAAAATTGCCGGCAAGAAGATAGGGGAGGGGACACAGGAGGGCTCCAAGGCCTGGACATAGACTTGAGTAGGCAGAGCTTGTCCCTATTAATGGAGTTCACCAGCCACTAACACTCAGGTGATCTGCATATAGGGCAGAGAGAGAGACATCTGCAGCCTTCATCCTGTCAGTTACCTTTTGTGGAAGCTGAGCTGGAGGGTCGCTTGAGCCCACTCAGGCCCTGAAGAGGGATGTCACCACCTTCCAAGACGCTTTTATAAATCTGCCTCTCATTCTCCAAGTTAGCAAGGTCCCCGGCAACCCCATCTGATTCTCTCTTCACTGCATGGAAGTTGGAAGAATATATACTACAAGCAAGGTATTTTAAAGAGACAGAAGGAAAGGAAAAGCATTAAAAGTTAGCATTTTTAACATTCTGAAAAACCAATGTTATCAGCTGAAGAAAGGAAAGGTACTTTTTGGTTTCTTGGAGCACTGTACTTTCTAAAGTTAGCATGCTTATTTAGACAGATTTTTGTGCTTTGAAGGAATACCTGGGACTAGAGAAATGGCTCAGCAGTTAAGAGGGCCAGAGTCTAGTTCTCAGCACCCATGTTGGGTGACTCACAACCACCTGTAACTCCAGTCCTAGAGGATCTAAAGCCTTCCCTCTGCGCTCTGTGTGTACCCACACATGGTAGTAAAACACACATATACACACAAAATAAAAAGGCCGTTTCTCATATTACTTTTTTCTGGTCCATTATGCATGACAGCTTTGGCTGACAGAAAAAATCACCAATGAAAGGAGATACCCAGCTCTCCTGGGTCTCCAGGAAATCAGAAGCTGACATTCTGTGTCCTGTTATTGCAGTCAAGCCTTTTGTTTTGCTTTTGTTTTCTCCAAGAGATGAAGTCTTGATATGTTGCCCAGGCTAGCTTTGAGCTTTTGGGCTCCAGTGATCTCCCTGCCTCAGTCTCTCCTGTAGCTAGAACCAGAGGTGTGTGTGCACCACCATGCCCAGCTTCACAGCCAAATTTTATACTCATTTCTTTCAAAGTTTTTGTCAGAACCTGATGGTATGTACTGTGCACACAGTTGTCCATTTATGGGCTTCATTGATTTTTCCCTCACTGAAATCTAGGTATTTTTCAAGTTATTATAAATTCTTTGGGAATGAGGCAAGGCACAGAAAAAAACCCCTGAAAGCACTTACTTTGCAAGCCCCTCCCTTTGTGTGATCCCACTTTTCTAAGGCCTTACCTACTGAAGTATCGACATGGTACAATTTTTTTTTCTTTCTCTATTCCACACACCCCCCCCCGAGAAGAAAAGAATGTCTTTCTCATAAAAATGCATGGGTTTCCACCAGGATACTGTTAGCCCTGCTGTAATCAGTTCACTATTATCATTATGGATTTGTCAGCTCTGAGGACCCATGTCTTCATGGAATTCCTTCAATATTTTTACTATATTATCAAATGTCCAGAAAAGTTTACAGAATGCTGAGGCCCCCCTCCCCCAACCAGGATTTTACAGGGAACACAGAGCTGTGTCTGCTTTCCCACACACCTATCCATCTGTCTTTCCCTCTACCCACCAGTGGAACTTTTTATTATGCAAAGCTAGCCCTTCATTTTGTGCATCACCCAGTCTCTGAGTCCCCACAATTGCAGTTAACAATGGCAAAAAAAAAAAAAAAAATCTGCCTGATGGTCACTGTCTTGTTAACACACACACACACACACATACACACACACACACACACACACACACACACACACACACGCCCTGCATCTGTCATTTTCCATATGAGGAGATGAAGCACTGACAGGTTAGGTAACCTGTCAAAGCAGGCAGGATTAGCAGATGACAGAGCTAAAACCTGAGCCACAGCACTGGATGCCATGTGGACTGTTTCATCTGCTGGCTTATACTTCCTTGTGACCAGTGAGGCAGTAGCTCATACACTATAGGAGCCAAGGGTATTTGAGTTTCATTACATCACTGCTGCCAAGTGTCACCTGCCAAGAATAAATATATCCCTAGAACAACTGGAATCCAGGAATCCAAAATGGAAACAAAGAGCCTCTGATAAGATGCAGTGGTGTCTTGGGCTTCAAGTCACTATATGCTTCCTCATAGCCACACTACCAACTAGCCTTTATCTTGGGTTCATCATTGGCTAAGAGATTTACCAGTATTTCAGGGGATTGGCAAAGGGTAGGGCTACCCCAGGTCCCAGGTCTCACATTCTCTATGGCCTGGATGAAAAGATTAAATACTTCTCAGTCAAAACAGAAAAACATTACTAGAACCAAAAGAAAAGAAAACCAAGTATCAAAGCTGAAAATGTTAACGTCTGCAGGGGCTGGAGAGATGGCTCAGCAGTTACAAGCACTAGCTACTCTTGCAGAGGGCCTGTGTTTGGTGCCCAGAACCCATATGATAGCTAGCAACTGTCTGTAACTCCAGTTCTAGGGGATCCAACACCCTCTTCTGGCCTCCTTGGGCACTGCATACACATGGTACACATAGCACATGTAGGCAAAACACTCATATATATATAGAATAAAAGCAAATAAAAATTTTTTAAATGAAAGTGCAAAATGAAGTGTGTACGGAGCAGGCCCTGGGGTTTGGCTTTCACTAGGAGAACTCAGAGAAGGCAGGCCAAGCTGACCTTTTCCCCCAGCCCAGCTGCTTGCTTGCCTGCTTGTTGGCTGTGTCCCACCCAGTATCACCATTTCTTCCTGCTTCCCCCAGAATGAGAAATCAGCACTCAGGAAACCTCTCAGAATGCAGTTGCTAGAACTAATTGTTTTCTTTCTGATACCAAAGCAGACAAAACAACACTTTTCCCAGATGTGTGACATTTTGCAGCTGAGGTACACTTATATAAAAGCAGTATCTAAGAACTTGAGAACGATGTCCTTTTTTTTAAATGTGTATGCATGTATTGCCTGTGTGTAGGAAGTGCACCCGTGTCATGCAATGTCCACGGAAGTCAGAAGAGGCTGTTGGATCCCCTGGGACTGGAGTTATGGACAGTTGTTAGCTGCCACATAGGTGCTGGGATTCGAACCCAGGTCTTCTGCAAGAACAACCAGTGTTCTTAACCGCTGAGCCATCTCTCCAGCCCCGAGAAGTGATGTTCTTAAATGCATTGTCTCCAACAGCTCTCCTAATGCTGCATCATTTGTTCTATTGCTCAAAAGAAGAAACTGAGGACCAGGGTGGTAAAGGCATTTGCCCAAGTTCACACAGAGTTACTAGGACTTTGCTATGTCTAAGATCAGACATGAGGGAAGCAACCTTGGCCCTCTGGCTGAAAAACAGCACAATCAGGATTAGCAGCTATTTGCACTAAACAAAACAAGTAACATTCAGAACCTTGACCCTGAGATGCTTGTGTTGAATCAGATTGGGGTTTAGACTGAATGTGCCAGGAGACAGTACACAGAATTGGGCCTCTGGTTAAGATGCAGAGTTGACCATGGTGTTTCAAGAGGTTTTAGCAAAACACACTCACTGGAAGAATAAAGTGAGCGAGCAGAGCACGCCTCCTGAGCCAGCTGCTTCTATCTGTGCTAACAGAGCTCTGGGGGTAGTGGAAAAGGTCTTGGAAAGCCAGACTCCAATAGAGAATGTGCATGAGCTGAGACAAGCTTATGCTTATGTTGTTTAAAACTTGCAAACAAGCAACTTTTCTTAATTTCAGTTTCTTTCATCCACAAAACTAGCAGGTGTACAGACTAGACTGTCTAGGAGATCCACTATGAATCTGTTATCTATGTTCACCTTTCTTTTGGGCTCCAAGCACATACAGTTAATTGACTGCCAGACATCCCACCTGTATGGTCTTCAGACAGCTCCAACCCAACACCCCAAAACAAACTGGGTTCTGTTCTTACTCAAGCAGAAAGCCCAGTGAATCAGCCCTGCCTCTTCTCTCCTTGCTCCCCGAATCCAATGAGTCACCAAGTAGTCTGCTTCCTTGCTCTCCTACATTCATCACCTTGCTCCCTCTACTCCCATTACCACCTCTTTGTCACTTATCTACAACCCTACAAAATGTAAGAACCATCCCCATCACCTCTGCACCCTCACCCCAGTCCTAATGCCCTACAATCACTGCAGTGTTATTTCTAGGAAAGATACCCTGTCAATCTGCTTGTTTATTAACTAAACAAATATTTATTGAGTACCTACTGTGTGTCAATCACTGTCTTAGATGGAAGAGATTCAACAAAGAACATAACTGACAAAACTTTCTAGCCTAGTGGAGCCTGCATTTACTATTCCAAAACTTTGGAGATTTCAGAATGAAAAGCAAAAGGTAACAGTCATTAACTGTAGCAGTGTGGGAAAGAGTCTAGATAATCTTCCAGAAGCTCCATCTTAAGACATTCTGTGATACATGAAAAACTAGTTCTTAAAAAAGTTTTACAATATAATGTTATTGTTATTCATATTTCATCTGCAGCTCCATATAGCCTTCTTCCAGCTCTCTTCACAAAATAAGAGGTGCTCACGTTCTCTTTGATCCCATCATTGCATTTGCCACACAGGATTGGACCACTATTTACCTGCCTGTCTCAAATTGCACACGGAACCTCTTATCGGCAGCTGACTTTATTAATCTTTGCACATCTGGTGTCTAGTACATTTAACAAATGCTGGTGGAATAAATTATTCTAAAATCAAATGCCTATAAACACACACACACACACACACACACACACACACACTTATGGTATATTTTTAGGGTCTGGGGGAACCTCCAATGTTTTATACAGTTCTTCAGGTTATGCTTTGTTCTTTAGTCAGATTAATGAGAAAAGTACCCTGCTGTACAGGCCCTGCCTCAGAAAAAGCAGCTTTTCCTTGAGTGCCACCTGCTGGCTCAACAGAGTAAAGCTCTTTTGGATAGGCCAAGAAAGTAGCAGAACTTAATTGCTCAAATGAGAAACAACAATGAAAATGACAGTTCTCATTACAAGTTTTTAGAATCTGGTAACACTTGGGAAATTAAATACAAAGTGGACACACTGTGATGGTAACTATAAAAATGGATCTGAGGGACAGGACTGGGCTTTGTTAGGATCCTGAGACTATGATTGAATATCTTCCTATCACTTCCCCCCTTATTATTTTTGGCTTGTTTTGAACTTTGTGTGTGTGTGTGTGTGTGTGTGTGTGTGTGTGTATTTTAAAAGTTATGTGTATGAGTGCTTTGCCTTCATGTATGTAAACACACCTGTATGTGCAGTGAGTACCTACAGAGGCCAGAAGAGGATGTCAGATTTCGGGAACTGGAGTTATATATGGTTGTTAACTGCCACGTGAGTGCAAGGAACCAAATCTGGGTCTTCTGCAAAAGCAACCCATTTTATTAACTTCTGAGACATCTCTCCAGCCTGTTTGTTTTTTCAGACAGGATCTCACATACTCCAGGCTGGCTCTGAACTCACTACATAATTGAGGATGACTTTGAACTCCTGATCCTCTGTCATGCCACCATCATGCTTAGCTCCATTAATACTGAAATATAATCAATGCTCATGAACAAAATTCCAAATTTCAGTCTGTCTAAGATCTGAAAGTAGCTTTAAAACCAATCTTGCAGTTGCCACAAAGGTTTTAACCTTTCTTCATTTCTTGGTTAGGACAAGCCTGGCCAATGTTTCCTTTACTTGTTAGCCCTGTATCTCCAGTGATAGGTTTTAGGTTCAGTGCTGCCTGCCTCATGGCTGGGCAAGCTGGTGTCTAGTTAATTATGACTTATAGGTACATTCATGTATTTATCAAGCATTTACTGCAATTCCTTTTGTGTAACATATCCCGCTTGGGCTGGTTCCCCACCAACTCCGAATATGGAAAGATCTTATGCATTTGACTCAGTTTGTCTCACCAGGTATTTCAGGAGAGCTGGCTAGGCCCCATCAAAACAAAGGTCTTTAGAGACTTATTTCAACAATATAAATAAGATTGTTTATTTATAATAAGATGTGTTTATATAATACATCAAATTACCACTATGGACATTCAGAGTATCTAAAAACAAATCCCTCTTTCAAGCACTTTACATTTATCTCCTTCAGTTCTGCTAGCCCAATATTGCAATGAGTTGCTCACATTGTTTTTTCGGGGGGAGTATTTTGATTTTGTTTTTGAGATAGGGTCTCCCTGAAGCCCCAGCTTGCCTGGAACTCACTATGTAGACCAGGCTGGCCTTGATCTCAGAGATTCACCTGCCTGTGTCCTAAGTGATGGGATTAAAGGCTTATGCCATCACATCCAACTCTACATTGTTTTTAGTAGCTCAAAACCAGCAAGCCATACTATGCCTTCAGCTAAATTATTAGTGAGTTTGAATCAGTATGGTTCAGATGAGGCTCTTCAACTAACACAACTGTCCTGACCCAGAGCTTCACTTGTTCCTGCTCTGGGTAGAGCACTCACACACCAGCTGTGGCACTGTGGGCAGTAAACTGTCCTAGTGTGCCCATTTCCTTACCTATATATACACTGGGGATTGAAAATTACACCTGATCCCAGAATGCTCAGAGAACTGAATGAGCTAATGCACACAAACTGTGAGGCAGAGGGTCTGGCACACAGTATGTGCTCAATATATGTAAAATTGTTTTATTTAAGAGCTTCTAACCCTGACTGACTATGGTAGCTATTTTCTCTTCTGAACACTTCAACCTGTATAGTGAACTTCATTCACTTGCCATTTTGTCTTTCAGTTACTCCATTCATTTTCTGTGTGGGGTAAGGGGGTTCCTCAGTCAAGGGACTATGTCTATTTTCTTATATTAACTAGCCTAGTACTGGTAGAACTAAGGAATTACTCAGCTGGACACAGCCAGTGAAGCAGCCTGTTCTGTCTAGTACATTTCAGGGCAATGAGGTGAGGAGACGGAGGGAAGACCAGGGGCAGTGATTAACACTGGGCAATCCGGAACAACAAGAGTAGGGAGAGTCCTGGTTGAAATCCTGGTCATGGTGATCAAAGTGGTAAGCTAAGAATAGGGGTGGCCATGAGGACTAAGAAGAACTTGCTGGAGTTGTGGCCTGAAGAAAGTCCTTTATCCATAGGCCTTCTGACACGTTTTAACACTGCAAGCACATCCCTGGACCTGGACTAGTCAAAGCTATAGTGGGAAGCACAGCTCTACTGGCAGCTCCATCAGAGTGAGCCACAGAGCCCAGCATGGAGGGGGAATGGGAGCGCTCCCAATGCCAAATTTCAGTACCGACATTGCTGTCACTGACAGTGTGGTCACCATCCCCACAACAGGCACAAGAAGCTTTACGCCCTGCCTTCCCCAAGCTGAACATTGCCTTCTATAAAGAGGCGACTTTTTTAACTGCTGTCTTAATGTATCTCTTTGATTTCCTCTTTTTCTGGGCATATTAATCACAACCCCTGAGCTGATTTGTTATTGCCAATTTGACACAAACTGAGACATGCTTGGAAAGAGGGACTCTCAACTGAGGAATCTCCTCCATCAGATTGGTCTGTGGGCATGTCTCTGGGCATGTTTCTTGATTACTAATTGATGCAGGCAGGCCCAGCTCACTGTGGACAGTGGTATCCCTAGGCAGGTAGGCCTGGGCTATATAAGAAAGGTAATGGAGCAAACCTGAATGAACAAGCCAGTAAGCAGCATTCCTCTGTGGTCTCTGCTTCAGCTTCTGCCTCCAGGTTCCTGCTTGAGCTCCTGCCCTGGATTCCCTTAATGATGGACTGTAATCTGTAAGCCAAATGAACCCTCTTCTCCCCAAGTTGTTTTTGGTCAGTGTTTTATCACAGCAGCAGAAGGCAAACTAGCACATGCCTAGATATTTATGGACAACTTAACAGATCTTGCTAGAGCTTTTGATCACTGCCCAAATTCTGGTGGACTTCAGTATGAAAGGGAACTCAACATGCTTGCTTTGGCAAGGTAGGCTGAGATGACTGGAATAGTTGTCAAAAAAAAAAAAAAGATTCTGTAAACTCAGCAACTCTGCTCATCATGCCTTGGTCAAATCAAACGGAAGAGGGGACAACAGTGTCCTTATTCCTTGTTGTTTTAATGAATTGGCTACATATATGATGGTGAGAGATGAGGAGATGCTCCTACCAGAACCTGCCCCTTTCTCAAGGTTTTGGGTATACCTGGCACTCTTGCCCTTAAGGAGTTTATAATAAGCAATTAGATAAATGTAAGAGTATAATTCATATTTTTATATGTATGTGTGTATTGCCTGCATGTAGGTAAGTGCACCTGTGTCATGCAATCCACACAGAGGGTAGAAGAGGCCACTGGATCCCCTGGGACTAGCGTTAAGGATGGTTGTTAGCTGCCATGTGGATGCTGGGATTTGAACGTGGGTCTTTTGCAAGAACAACCAATGTTCTTAACCGTTCTTAACCGCTGAGCCATCTCTCCAGCCCCATAAATAATTTTTTAAAAAAGTGTAATTCAGATATATGGCAGCGGAGGCAGAGGCCAGAAGAGGCACCAACATGAGCCTGGGTAGAAGAAGGCTCAGTTAGTACTTGTCTATACAGCTGAAGTTATTGCTATTTACTACGGATCTACCAAAAAAAAGTTTACCCCCAAAAAGTTAACCCCCAAAAAGTTTGGCTAGAATAACAGCTGCATGGAAAAGCCCTGAGAAAGGCATTCTGGGAAAGGATTCAGGACAGGAGACTGTAGTTACTCCATGAAGGGGAGTGAATGGGGTTCATGCACTGACAGCTAGAGTCATAAGAACTGACAGAAGGAAAAAAACTCCACATCTATGTGAGAATCAAGGCCTCACAACCCCCATGGCAGGTCTGCCCCAAGGACTCCATCCCATTCTCTGCTCCTCTATATTTATCCCAGTTTCAACACATCCTAGCTACACTCCCTTCCCTCAAGAATCCACCAAGGACAATCTTAACTTAAAATGTAGACAAATGGGCTGGGAAGATGGTTCAGCAGATAGAAGCACCTGCTGTGCAAGCCTGGTGACCTGGGTTAGATTCCCAGATGCTGTGGTGGAGAGAATGGACTCCAAGAGCAGTCACCTGTGCAGACCTACACACACACACACACACACACACACACACACACACACACACACACGCACACAAAATACTAAGTGCAATTAACAAAAAGAAAAGTAGACAAATAACCTGACATTCTAAAGGTAAAGATAACAACTTGGGGAAAAGCTAAATGAAGGCAGTATGAATCATCACAAAATTTAAAGAAGGGGCAAAAAACAAAAGAAAAAATAATTTGAAAATTAGAATGCCACTAAACTACTGCAAGGCAAAAACCCAGAGCATGGAGCAGCCCACTGCCTGAACCCTCCCCAGCACCGAAGCCTTTGCTGCTCACCACCAAACTGTACATCACTGGACACCATGAGATATAGATGAAACACTCTAGGTCTAAAACACCAGCCTCACCCCTTGTCTGACCCTTGAAACAATGAGCTGTGGAAACAGAAGAGTGGCTACTTACTATCCAGGAGGCTCTGATGTAATGTCTGGAGTAGGGCTGACTGCTGAGCTCTGTAAAAGTCAAAGAGAAAAAGAAACAATGCAGATGATTTGTTTTGACTCATAGGGTGCAAGTCAAGAGAAGTCAATTCCCTTTCCTCATATAGACAGGACCCCTGAGGAACAAAGGCCTGGACAGAAGGCTTGGGGCTGGGGAGGATTTGAGGGTACTGGACTGCCCCATGCTCCGTCTTTTGCCTTCAAGGAGACAGTCACCACCCACAGTGGGGCAGGAAGTGGATTCCAGCTCACATTTATCATCAGCTCCAGGTCCAAGGAGCAGAGGTTTCCTCATCCATGTGTCCCCAGTTTTCAGACCCCCTTGCCAAGCCCCCTGCAGATCTGTTCATGTGTCCCAAATGTTACATCCAGGAGAGTCACACAACATGCTAAGTACAGAATGCATTAAAATGCAGTTTTAAGAAGATCATACCGTATTTACACAATTTGTTTATGCCTGCAGATTGAGAAGTATAAAAATGAGGAGACACAATTTCACAAAACCCACTAATAGCCATGCCAACATGGATGGGGGAGTGTTTTATAAAATCACAGGCCACCAACAAGAGGAAGAAAACCGAGAAGAGCTACATGCAAAGCAAAAGCAACGTAATAATGTAGTTTAGAGTTTCTTTTGTTGTGCTGGAGAGAAAAATGTCAAGGGCTCAATATAGTTGCGTTGAATATATAAATATAAAAGTTACCTCTTACAGACACTCCAATCTAATAATTTACTGTTATATATACCAATAACCAATTTAAGGAAAACAAGCTACCTGGAGAAGAGGCTTTAGGGAAAAGAAAAAGAAAGTAAAGGAAGAAGCTATGGAAGAGAGGTAAGATGACAGGGATGGAGGTGTTTTCACCAGGGGCTCCTACTACACCTCTGCCTTCCAAAATACCTACCTTCAACCTGTCAGTCTGGGTCCTTTTGTCTTAGAGGCACTGCTGCCCCAGGATGGGGTTCACCTCCCCTATACCATTATTTCTCAGTCAGTCAGTCTCTCTCTCTCTCTCTCTCTCTCTCTCTCTCTCTCTCTCTCCCCTCTCTGAAGCATTTTGGTAGTCCTGTTTTTCTCCTCTTGCTCCATCACCCATTCCCTCCACCTCTCTAAACTGTTCTTCCTGTGACTCTTCCATTTCCTGTTCAGTGTCATCCAACATCCCAATGGGTAGCTGTTGGTCCCATCCTTTGTTAATCTTTGATTCACTGCCAGGCTGGATGTTTTCAGGTACTCCCAGGACCTCCACCATCACCTCAGTGCAGACAACTCCAACGGACTTTTTAAGCCCTCGCCTTCTTCATGACTTCTAGTCTTATACTTCCAACGGCCTTCTGGATGTTCTCTGACACCGAACCAGCACCTCAGTAGCCAAATACCTGAAACCAACTCCACGACCTTATACCAGCACTGAAGTCATCCATCTCCATCCCTTCCCCTAATGCATCATTCCTTACACATTTACTTAAAACAGCCTATTGCAATTTCCTTGGCACTCTCTCTCCACCTATCCTTCCCCCAGCTTCTGCTGTCACCACTGTCTGTCTAGAATACTGGGGTAACCTCACTGCCCTCTGACACTCCAGTTTTCTTCCACCTTCAATCCACCTTCTCCAAAGGCGTAACAACAATCCTCCCAACACCTCTGTGCTGGATAACTTTAGTGTCAACTTGACACACCTGGGTTGAGGGAGCCTTGGGGAATTGCCTCTATTGGACTGGCCTGTGGCTATGTCTGAGGGGCATCTTCTTGATTGTTGTGTGATGTGGGAGGGCCCAGCCCACTGTGGGTAGTGCCACCCCTGGGCAGGTGGGCCTGTGTTGCATAAGAAAGCAGGCCGAGCAGGGGACAGGGGAGTAAGCCAGTAAGCAGCATTCCTCCATGGCCTGTGCTCCGGTTCCTGCCTCCAGGTTCCTGCCCTGAGTCCTACCTTGGGCTCCCAGATGAACTGTGACCCGGGAGATGTAAGACAAATAAACCCTTTCCTCCCCAAGTTGGTATTGGTCAGAGTGTTTTGTCACAGCAATGGAGAAACAAACTAAGACAACCTCTTTAACTCATCAGTGGTCTAGGGGAAATACATCATCTCCTTCGTAACATTTTCTCAGCGTCTACAATATGTCCCAAACCTGCCTCCCATGATTCCTACCCCACATTCTACCTGAGTCTGTCTTACCCCTTAAACATGTATACTGTTTCTATCTTTCTCTAGTGCCTCAAAATAGATATCCCAAATTCCCCCATGCACTTGAGTTCCACCTACACTTTAAGATCTTGGCTAACTAACTCTAGAAAGTCTTTGATTTTCCAAAAGCTTCTTCTCTGTTCTAGCCCTTAGAGCACACACCATTTTTTTAACCCTGAGCAGGCACTATATGTCCACTGCTGGAGTCTTTTACTTAAGAGAATGGACTCAAGTATCATGTCCTGAAGGCAAAGTCTCCTTGTGTGGGTGTAGGGCTTCTACAAGTATATCTCATATACATTCAAGACTAACACCACCAGTCAACCAACCAATGGGAAATGGTTTGTGCATGCTCAAACACTTCCTTGTGCTCATGGTGCCCAAGAAGGGTTTGGGCCTTTATGGAGGTAGCAGTCGGCTTTCACTACCTGTCTCTGCATGGGCTACAGAAAACTCTTACTACTTTAGACTACTTTGAAAGCTCCTGATTTGTTTTTGGCCAGCCTGTGACAACGGACCTCTCAACCTGCATCTTAGCCCACGTTAGGACTTACCTGAGGCCACAGCTCTTATTCCAGGCTGGGATTGTTTCCTCCTTAGATTTTTTTTTTTTTTTTGGTCTTTTTGAGACAGGGCCTCCCTGTAGCCCCAGCTGGTCTGGAACTCACTATGTAGACCAGGCACTGGCCTTGAACTCACAGAGATCTGCCTACCTTTGCTTACTGAGTGCTGGGGTTAAAGGCGTGTTATACCATGCCCAGTCCTCCTTGGATCTTTACTGTTACAGTGGCTATACCTGGTCCTAGTATCTACCCCGGTTAGAAACTCAGTTCCCCTCGGCTTTCCCAACCCAATCAGCTGTCTGCCTTGATTGTATGTGTGGCAACTTACATCCTTGCTTCCTTTTAGTTCTGAGGGAGGGCCCAGGCTAACTACTGCTCACTTCTTCATCCTCTGGTATCTCTCCGGACCCCTTAGTGGCTGCCGTGACTGCTGCAGTTCACTGTCTTACCACTCTTTTATCCCAGACCTATATGGATGCTACCATAAGACCTTGGGTCCTACATCCCTTCCCTGGTTTGAGTCAGTCACTTGACTTTTGTGCCCAACTCACTTACCTTAGTGGTCTGACCCTGTCTTAGTTATCTTGCATCTAGCAGAGACCCATTATCAATTTCTGTCTTTCCTCCTACAGTTTGTGGACCTTCCTGGCTTCTTCAGCGTCAACGTTCCTCTTTATTTTTCTAAAGCTATCCTTTCCTCATAAGAAGCCGTTAAGTTTTGTCAGGGAGTCCTAAGGACACCAGCAAATATTTGGTTTCCCCTTGGAAGCTATTTACTTTGGACTGGCTTTACCCTTTCCCCCTCCTACCTTTTAATAAACCACATTTTGACACAGTCCCCTTTTAAAAATACCAGTGCAGGCCCAGTTTCAAGCACCTACTTGTCTCCAGGCCATCAGAGGCCTGGAGTGCACTTTCTACTGAGAACTTTCTGGCATTTATAATGACAGATACCACTGCTCTACAATGCCTTGTGCAGCCACGGAGTCCAATCACTGCTGCTGTGTCTCTGAAAATGACCTCTGAGGTTGACATCTCCCAGGGCTACAAAAAAAAGATAAGAAAAGCTGTCCCCTAAAATAGCTCTCTGAGAATTTAAAGGTGAAAGAAGGGAACTTGAAAAGTTTACCCTCTGAAAGCAAATGAAAAGAGTTTAAGCACAGTGGGAAGGGGAGTTTAAATCACCAACCGTTCTGTATGTACTTGAAAAGCCCCCTTTAAGGAAGATGCCAAGCTCAAAAGGAATCCAAACAAAAAAAGATAACTCTGTGTGGGGGGGGGGCGTTCTAACAGAAGTCAGAAAGCCATGCATCTTAAAATTACCAGCATCACCCTCTGTCATCTCACCTACATCAAAATCAAAGAACAGAGAAGAAAACAAAGCAGAGCTTGAAAAGGAACCAACGGCGAGAGAAAAACAGGGAAATACCTGTGGCGAGTTTGCACTGCGCGCCTTATTAATCGTCTCCATTTTTTCTAAATCTGCCTCTAACTCTGTTTGGCAGAGGTTGAGATCTTTTTCTAGATTAGTCTGGTTCAAGAAAGAAAAGATGAGAAAGAATGTTTTAGTTTAGAGGAAAGGGAGAAGGAATGGAAGGTTAAGTTTGAAAATGAGTATTTTAGTCAAACTTTAATAGGGTCAGGATGGCATGACTAATCACAAGAGTTCACTAGAAATTAGTTAAAGACTGAAAACAGAAGCGTAACATTAGGCAGGTTCACTAAAAATCCAGAGTTTCACAGCTTGGAAAATATATTCTACTTCTAACGAGCACTACAAATACACAAAAACCTACCTTTAAGGAAAGGTATACTTCATTTATGTCAGAGCATGGCGACTGACAAATACTATCATCAGAAGAATTATGTAATTGTTTTAAAAACCTCTAAACATTAGTATATGACTTTGTTAAATACTTTTACCACCAAGCCAAAATCAAAGTTACTAAGTTAAAAAAAAAAAAAACGATTTAAGAAAAGAAAAGAAACCCATAACACACTCACAGCAACCAAGGCTACAGATCTAGAACACACAGTCCACAGAGGAGGCACAGCGGAATTACCTTTCTATCCTCCTTAGGAAGGATAGAGCAGTCTCCAGGAGTATAATCCCATATCTTTTTGGGAGGCTGACGGGAAGCAGAGGAGGAAATGAAGAAATGAGCATAAAGACATAAAGACAAACATGGGGGCTGGCTCAAACAAAGAGGGGCACGCTAGGAACTAGACCAACACAGAAAGGTGAACTCAAAGCAAAGGGCTGGAAATTCTGAGTACACAAAGCTGTCCTGGGGAACCTGGAACCACTAACTAGGAAGGCTATCACACTGCCTGAGTCTCAAGAGTGAGTCAACTCTAAATTCTAAATATTAATGAAAAGGGGAAAAAAAAACATTAATACAAATTAGAAACATTCAAATTCTTCATTGTTCTTTTCAAACCAAGAATGACATTGGAGAGTTCACTTTTTTAAATATTCTTCCCCACTGTAAAAAATTTCATTGCATGTTAACAAATGTATGGATCTACAGGTTTGACCAATGGTGGATGAACTAATTAAATGTGCCTCTGTGGTTGGCAGTAATGACATCCATGTACAGAATGGGACTTAAAACAGTACACTTGAACACTTCAGACCAGCAGCTTTTAACTCTGCTTTCATAATGTAATTAGACTTTAATAACACTGCTAATGCTAAGAGGTACACTTCCCCTCAACCTCAGGGAATACAAACAGCAGACTCAATGGTTGTTCAGTCTTCTCCTTTACCCTTTCATGTAGAATAGAAAGATGGGAATCTGCCAGGAAACTGTTGTAGACCTAACGAGGGAGGGGTGTAGAATACAAGACATTCAGAAGTTATGGGCACTTCTAACTCTAAACTTCTCTCTCACAGAGTGGATCTTTTTATTCTGCCTATGAACACTCCCATTCTATGACGTCTGGGAAGATCAGAAACGGGATCATTAGAGGCTCCTAAGATTTCCTGAAAATTTCATGTCAGCCAACTCTACAGAAGCATTCAAACTGATTAATAGCAAGAAACTTTGCCCTGTCAGGCATGGTGGTGCCCACCTTTAATCCCAGCACTAGGGAGGCACAGGCAGGTGGAGCTCTGTGAAACTGAGACCAGCTGGTCTACAAAGTGAGTTCCAGGCCAGCTGGAGCTACAAGGAGACCCTGTCTCAAAAAGAAAAAATAAAAGAAACTTCTCCTTGAGTTTGTGAATAGAAATCAACTTTCTTAGAAATTAGACAGGAAGGGAGAAGAAAAAGCTGATACTTGGGTTCCCTATAAAATATCTGCAAAAGAAAAGCAACCTGATTCTAGCTGTGGTCACTGATGAGAGGGAGATCAGCAGTTACCATTCATGTTTAGTACTCTATATACTTGGATGGTATCTAGGGAAATAGACTTTTCACACACATTATTATCTTGTCTTCCTTAGCTTGTCCAAAAAAAAAAAAAAATCTACCAGGAGATATTTACAAATTAAATTGGTTTTAAATAATCACTCCACCCCGAATGGTCCCTGGAGTCTTGAATTATTTACTATTCTATGACAACTCATTGACGTAAATGGTATTGCAATCAAGGTCTTGATGGAATTTTCATTTCATTTTGAGTGGCTTTAAGAGAACAGTTTGAAGAAGAAAAGAGCTCAGTAAATGTTAGTACCAAAATTTTGGTGGGCTTTACCCTGGTAAAATGGCCCCAAGCTGGTATGACAACTAAAAAATTTTTTTCACTAATTTAAAAAAGCAGAACTTTTGACACATGTGATTTGGCTGAAGACTTCTTCCCATTCTACCTCTGAATGGAAAACACTTCCCACATTTCCATGCTTACCCATCTTTTGTGATCTACCATGGTTAGGGTAGGGAAGAGAAGAAAAACTGTCTCTCTCATATCGCCTTCTTAAACTCTGCTGGTTCAACTAGACAGGATGTCTGTCCTTGGGATGTCTCAAACCATATGTATTTGTTCTTTCAAATGTAGTCCTTGGGGATGTGGGCATTGATTGTGTTATTTTGGCAAGTGTTCAAAAGTAAGACACTCCAAGAGAAGACATTATTTGACAAATGGCCTATGTTCTCCATATTTATATGAGGAGGGTTAATGACTCTCAGACCAAAGTTTTTAGTAGAAACTGTTAATATATATCAAGTTATTCTCAGGGCCTGTTTCCTAAATGCTGAAACTGAAATAATGACTAGTATCAACAAAAAATGTCTGCAATGACAGATTTAGGAAAACAAGTCAATGAGAATTAATTAGAAAATAAAAGCTCCATAATTTTTCTAAAAAGCTAATATTTTAAGTTAAACTAGTTTCTTATTTGTAGATAATCATCTACCAAGTGGCCAGAAGTTTGTGGATTCTGAAAGGGATTTCAAAAATCATTGCCATGGATTCATTATAAAGCAATTTAAAATGAGTAGCTCTTGTTTTCCTTGATGAAGTATGACATTATTGATTAATCATAGTGTTGGGGAGGGGTGCTTAAAATATCAAAAGAAGCTTTTGTGCAATAATTGATCAGGTTTTAAGAAAAAGAAGAAAAGAAAAGCACTAGGATACTGTCCAATATTTGTAAGTAGAAATGACTTCATGAGTTAAATTTGATGTCTAAATGATGAACAGTAGAAAAGGGGTGTGGTGGGAGAGACCAGAGACAATGAGCTGTGCACCAAAGCTCTAGGGAGCAAGGCAAGGAGCAGTATGAGCTACATGCTTCCTCTCCACTGTCCCTAGGTGGCGCTCTTCATCAATGACAGTTCAGTGGCCAGTGGGAGATGTGCCCAGGAGGGCCCAGAAGAGAGGAATACCTATTCCTACAAACAGGATACTGCTAATTGGTCACCCCTAACTCAGAAGACACCTGAAGCTTTCAAAGTTCAGCATCTCTAAGTCAAACCAGTAATTAATTCCAGAACACCAGCCTAACTTCCCTTTGTCTCCATCTGTTTTTCTTTGTTTTTTGAGACAGGGTCTCACCATGTAATCTTGGATGGCCTGGACCTCTCTACTAGACCAGGTGGCCTCAAACTCACAGAGATCCACCTGCTTCTGCCTCTGAGTGTTGGGATTAAAGGCACATGTGCGCCACCATGCCCAGCCCCTTGTCTTCATCTTAATGAAAAGTATGCACCATGGATTTTAACATTTTATTGAACTATAAAGTTAATTCCTGTCTGTGAATAAAATTACTATCCTAGACCACAGTAATTCAAAAGCTGTACTCGATGGTTAGTGTCTCATACACATGTTTAATGTTTTATTTTTCTGTGCTTAACTTCTCCACCTATGAATTCTTTATCCAGTTATAATAATTAGGACTTCAGAGTTACTATAATTTTAAAGTTAGTCTTCTTGAGTAGAAGGATGAGTTCAGTTTTCCCTCAGGTTTGAAACTTGTTTGGGTGCAGGACTAAGAAACTCTTCCCTAAAGGGCCAAAGTCAACTCGTGCCAAAGTCAACTCACAATTATCCCAGGAAAGCTGCTGGGCACTAAATTTCCTTGCATACTTAACCTCCATTCCGAATCTTAAAAAAATATTAACCTAACTCTCAGAAACCAGTTCCTAAAAGCTGCCTTTAACTGGGCTTTATCTGTGGGTCGTACTGGCATAGAAAAGAACTTTTTGGCCTGCTCTGACACTGTCTTGCCTTGCATATATTCTTTTAAAATGCTGTTGAAATGGCGATGATGTTGGCCTTTTCAGGGAGCAAAGCATTTTCCTGCTTGTCTTCAGTATACCATAAAGACTTGGGGCAAAGTATTGAATCAATGGCAGAAAAAAGATTCCACCCACAAGGTACATGATGTTTGCTGTGAGTTGGAAAGAGGTTCTAGGACAACTTGTTTGTGTTTTCTGGGATTTCCTGGGAAGACATACCCTGAGAGTTCATGGTCTCTTCTAAATGCAGTGAAGTGAGAAAAGCCTACTTCAGGTTGTGGTGAGACAAGACAATCCCACTGTGGACAAGTGTCACGGCTGTTCCCCACTCCTGAATCCCTCACACACAGACCTGACTCTGTAGCAGCAACAATGCACCAACAGCATTATTTTAAGAGATGTGCAACCACTGAAGCTATTAAACTTACCGGTTTCCCAAACTCCAGTTCCGAAAAGAATTTATACCAAGGTTCATTCTTTAAATCTATCTCTTCTGGGCTTATATCCCGACTCTATAGGGGTTGGTGACAGGGAAATGAAAGAAAGAGAAGGATAACATTATGCAAAGATTACATAGGAACAGGCCAGTAGAGATGCAGTGGTTTCTGGATATATATAACAATAGCTTTCAACAGCAGCCGCCATCCATTTTTACTGCCAACAGCAAAATCAGGCCCTGAAAATGGAGGGAGAGGATGTTTATAAAAACAGGGAAATGGAGGCAAGGAGCAAGGAGGGACTTATTTCCAGTCCTGCAGCAGAGGCAGATGGACTGGGGATGGAGAACTTGACACTGCACTGCAGTGCCTCCACAAAACTGAACACAAGCAAAACAATATTCCTCAATCATTTTCAGTACTTGGGAAAAGAAAGTCTTTATTTCCTCTTGTAAGAGATATTAGCTACAAGCATATAAACCAAACATTCAGCACCTATGCCAGGGAAGTATAGCAAACAGCTTTTATGGGCTAGGATAGTTTTAGTACTTATTTGCAAGGCTGCCTTAAGGTTTTCAAAATAAATGCAAATATTAACACTTTATAAAAGCCAATTGGTTAATTCTGCATCTTTAATGGCACATGAATAGGTGAGATACCATGTCTCATACACGGCAAAGTGAAAGATGATATAAGTCAAAACAGAGGGCGTAAGTGAAAAACATTTTAAACACACATCTGTGAGGGATGAATACAGACAGGATATACTTTGTGTTCTAACAAATAAATGTTAAAGGACTGAGAAGAAATTAAGTGACAGAAAAGCTAGACAAGACAGATAACAGGAGGGGGAGAAAACTTCTGGGTTACATTCCAAAATGAGATTTCTCACTTTATATAACTCTAAGACATATCACACAGATTGGTAATTTGATTCTCTGGGATTTAATATTTAATCAAATATCCATTAAAGTTCTGGTACCTTACTCTAGGGATATTGTCTATTTTTGGAAATTGCTGAAAATGGATGACTAGAAAGCAAACTGGGTTTTCTTATAGAACGGAGCTATGTTCACAAGTGACAGAGAAATGTTTGAGGTTCAAGGCTTGGTTAAGTCCACATGTTCTTAATAACTTTGAAAGCCACAAAAAAGAGATGGTGAGTCTACAGCGACCTGAAATATAAAAATGTGCATAGTTTCTACAGAGGTTTAAGACATCACACAGAAACTGCCTTCTGTTTGCATCCTGGAAGGAACATGAGAGAGTGCTACCAGCCCCATCTACAGGTCGTCAGTATTACTGCACCACAAGGCAGCTCTTCCAGGATGCCCTTCTCTTAGCAAACCACTTAACAGCCAGCCCTTTTGCCACTTGTTTGAGAAATCTGAAAACAGCCTTAGTGACCTTTACCAACACTTTCTTCCAAGATCCTTGGAAGCACCTGTACCATCATTCCTTCCAATGTAACAGGCAGAGGAGGAGGTGGACACTTGGCAGAGACCTTTAAGTGACATTTAATTTAAAACTAAAGGGGACTATATGCTGAACTCAGGGTGTGTCCTCTTGGGTATAGATCAGCCTGCTCTCACTGTGGAGAGAGAAGACGTAGGGCTTCCTGAAGGAGAAGGCTTGGCTTCCTAGACCTAAATAGTTTTTGGAATGTGTGTTTGTGTGTGTCGGTGTCCATAGGTGTGTTTAAATATCTGTGCACATGTGTGTGGATGCCAGAGGACAAACTTACATGTGGTTCATCAGAAATTATCCACCCTGTTTTCAGAGACAGGGGCTCTCACTGGACAAGGGCTTGCCAATCAGGCTAAGCCAGCTAGCCAGCAGTCCCAGAGATCTGCCTGTCTGGGATTATAAGCATGAGCCATCAAGTCTGTCTCTTAGGTTCTGTTCAAGTGGGTTCTGTGGACTGAACAAGGGTTCTTGAGCACTTTACCAATTAAGCCATCTCCCCAGCCTAGCTTGTCTTTATTCAGAAAAATGAGGCACAGTACCCACAAAGACACAACTGGAAAGGGCAGTTTAGACATTGGGACATTCTATAACCTAAAATGATTGGTTTCCATGAAACTTACTTCATGTTTATTATTTTTACAAAGGTTATTTATACACTGTTCTTGGGAATAGTAAGGCTATTTTTTAACAATAAAAATGTACTAACATACCAACTCTTTCAGAAAACTGCCTGAAAGTTAACCCATTTTATTCTCAGTGCTGTTTGCAGAGTGGTTTACTGTTGGGGTTAATGTTGTTAAGAACAGTATCAGAAGGTATGTCGAATAACTTAGGTTCAAAGCCTGGGCCCTTTGAGCTGGCCAGAGATAAAAGTAAAAAGGTGACGCCACACAGAACTCACACCTGCACTCCTTTGCCAGGTGTAGCTCAGCAGTACATCCAATCAGGGGACAGACCAACAGCAAACATCCTTCTGAGTGCAGAGAAGTGCCTGTCCCCACAGCCAAGGTACATCCACAATACCAGGCCTGCTCTTTGCTGTTGTGGGCTGTTCTTTTTCCAGCTTGATAAAATCCTTGGAAAGGGCAAATGATTTGCCAGGAAAATGACAACTTTTCAAAAACAATTGCTGTTTGACAGGAGCCAGAGAGCAGCTTCAAATTTCAATTAAATAAATCAACCAAACTTGGTACATTCATTCGCACCATGCGTCATAGTGTTTCCTGGTTCTTACGCCTAAATTACCCTCCTTGGCCATATGACCCAGTACTCTACCAAGGTTTGAGGGTCAGGTAGTTATTCACCAATGAAAATCTTAAGGTCAAAAAGGTGAAATGATCTGCCCAAGACATATGGCAGTGTCAGGCCTGGAACCCAGAGCTCAGATTTTTCAGTTCCTGGTCCAGCACTATGTAGGTCAGACTACATTCCACTTTCATATTCTTCACGAGTGCACATAGAACAGATGACACCACACTAACACAGGGCTAGTGGCTAGCATTTCACCAGAGAAGAACTCAAAGTAACAGTGGATCAGGAAGAAGCAGAGCTGGGCAGATGCCCTTATTTCCAACTTCCATATTCATACCATGTCTGTAATTACAGTCTCAGTGTCCATCCTTGCTACCACACCTATAGAACAGGAACTCTAACATCTAGCCCAGGGCTTGGCATGCAAATGTTATTCTTTCTGTATTTGTTAAATTAAGTTCATGTCCTGTGAAGGATTTTAGAAAAAAGAATTAAGAGGAAAAAAAGCAGGGACCAACCAATAGATCTCTAATTCTAAGACCAGAGAGAAAAACCTGGTCCCATACTTTGATAAGAAGGCAAGCAATATTCAGACTTTCATGTTATGTCACATCAAGGCTGTGAGTTGCTGGGGATTCTGAATGTAATGTTGTTTCATGAGTCTGGGGTAGTGCACATCACTCTACAGTAAGAGAAGTCCTGGAGGCCCCTTATGGCCTACCACTCACCCCTTCCTGCTAATAATAATTAGCTGTGCCTATGAGGCCATCTCTCTCTCTTTTTTTTCTTTTTGGTCTTTTTTGAGGCAGGGTCTCCCTGTAGCCTCAGCTTGCCTAGAACTCACTTATGTAGACCAGGCTGGCCTTGAACTCACAGAGATCTGCCTGCCTCTGCCTCCTGAGTGCTAGGACTAAAGGTGTGTGCCATCATACCCAGCTGAGGCCATCACTTAATTTGGCAGAATTAAGCAGACATGAGCACTTCAAATGGAAGAAAAAGTATTTCCTCTCTCCCTCATGAAGAGACAAAGCAAACTTAGATTCTACACCTGTCACCTGTCATTAGTTTATATATTTAATGATTAATGAAATAATTTTTTAGTTCTTTTCAAAAAGTATATGTATAAGGTGCTTCTCAAACCCTAGTCAGCCAGATATTGGATACCAAAAGGCAAGACTCACATTGAAATTCACATTCCAGCTTTTCTGTTCATGTGATTAAAAATAGCAGTATAAAAAAAGCATTAAACATAAAGGACCAATTCAACCACTGAAACCCCAAGATTCAACTGAAATTCCTCTCTAAAATTAAAAATTTCTCTTTGGAATGAAAGAGCTAAATGGGATAAAAGGCATTGAATTAAACTATTGGACAGATGGTTTCCTCCCTGGTCTGTCTCTGGTGCCCTCATCCCACCATGGATGGGCCTAGGGCCTGGTACATCACAGAAGAGCTTTTGTGCTGAGACACCAGATTGTGCTTTGCCATCCTTGTGGGCCATCTCCACTGCTCCTTACAGAGGCCTTGAGGGCACTGTGGGGCAGTTTCCAGGGTCTGTAAAAACAATGTCAATCATCCCAAGAACTATGGTATGGAGATACTTGGACTACTGTGGAACTGATGAGGGCTCTGCTTAAAACATCGTGGTGCTCTGTGAATGCTGAAGAATGGCAACTCTAAAAGCATTTCTGTGAACTGCTCACCTTTTTCCTAATTACAGTTACTTATCCGCCAGCACTTAGAAAGATGTCACATTTTCATTTTAGTAAAAGTCGAATCGATTATCCCTTAAAAACATGTAGAAAAGAAGAGGATGTGTGGGGGAGAATACTTTGAACCCACAGTTCAGAGGGCTGCTACACACTCACTATGCTAACAGCACTTAATCAGAACCAAAGTCCAGCATAACTGCTCCTTCCTGCTGTTGAGGACAGAGGGATGCAACGCTTATGCATTTCGGAAAATCTCTATAACCACCATCTAAAATTTGAACCATGTGTTTCTAGTAAAGGGTGATTTGCAGATAATGAAACTAATCCGTTTGTAAAGTTTTTCAGTTTCATGAAAGTGGTTGCTTTTCCAGGGTAATGTGCTAGTCCTATTACAGGCCATTTTCCCACTCATAATTCTTTGGAGATGTGAATTTATGTAAGGGATAAACAAGGCTAAGCATGAAATTAGTCCACAACACTGTGCCTATTAAAAACAGAAGACCTAAAGACAGAATCTAGCAGCCTTGGGGCTCCCCAGCCACTGTCAAGTTATAACATCCTATTCATTATGTTTAATTGTTTTAATAATGTGCTAGTCACTTCAAAATTTATGCATTTCAAACTAGAGTCACCTTAAAAAAAGACTTTATTCTACTCAACAAACCTGATCACAGATTTTTTTTCCCAAAAAACCAGAACCAAGATCAACTTTTGTTAGTAGAAAATTAAAATGAGTTGAAACCATGCACAAATGGAGCAACAGAGCCACAAAAGGAGGGTTCTTGGAAAGCAGACTCAGGACTTATTTTATGAAAATACTTCATTTTTCTCATTGTCCTCTAAACAAAACAAGCCTATCTCAAAAAGGGAAAGAATATACTCCAGCTACACGAGGCACCGTATTAAACATGGGCAGAGTGAGGCAAAAGAACTTGAATATGCACATTACCATCTTTTCATTGGTCAGAACAGAAGACTTGCCCGGCTGATACTCGTAAATGCTTTTAGGCTCAGCCCGGTATTTTCTCGTATCCACTTTCTTGTCTGGGGGCTCCCAGGCGTTTCTGTAGAAGGAAAATCCTATCAGAGCATTTTCATGAAAACCAGCATCAGCTTCTGATACTGTCTGACTTAGGTTGGCTGTAGTCTTAAGAAATTTTTAAATCCAAAACATAAAACCGGAATCAGGGTCAGCAATTTAGCTATACTACTTTGCTTCTCTCTCTCTCTCTCTCTCTCTCTCTCTCTCTCTCTCTCTGGTCTTTTTGAGACAGGGTCTCCCTGTAGCCCCAGCTGGCCTGGTGTAACCCCAGCTGGCCTGGAACTCACTCTGTGGACCAGGCTGGCCTTGAACTCACAGAGATCCGCCTGTCTCTACCTCCCAAGTGCTGGGATTAAAGGCGTGTACCACCACGCCTGGCTTTTTTGGTCTTTTTAAGACAGGGTCTCCCTGTAGCCCCAGCTGGCCTGGAACTCACTATGTAGACCAGACTTCAATCTCACAGAGATCCACCTGCAGAGTGCTGGGACTACAGGCACAGGCCACCATATCCAGGTGGTCCAGATTCTTAACCTGACATCCAGCGATGGGTTTTAAAGGCTAGTCTATGGAAACTGTCTGCAAATTTTATTCATTTATTTAATATATTTTTATTTAATGTGTATGAGTGTTTTATCTGCATGTATGCAAGTGTACCCATGTCATACAATACCCAAAGAGGCCAGAAGAGGGCATCAGATCTCCTGGAACTGGATTTATGGAGAGCTGCCTCCAAGGACTTAGCCTTCATGTGGGTGCTCCTCTGTAAGAGGATCCAAATGCTATTAACTGCTGAGCCGTCTCTCCAGCCCTATGGTCTGCAAATTATACAGGTACTGCACTTTGCAATGTGGTTACATTTTAATGCAAGGCTAACAGCTTCTTGAAGGTAGGACAATGTTTTACATACTCATACTCATATTCTTTTTTTTTTTAAAATTTTATGTGTATGCATGTATTGCCTGCATATAGGTAAGTACACCTGTGTCGTGCAATGCTTTCAGAGGTCAGAAGAGGCTGTCGGATCCCTTGGAACTGGAGTTATGGAACAGTTGTTAACTGCCATGTGGGTGCTGGGATTTGAACCGGGGTCTTCTGCAAGAACAACCAGTGTTCTTAACTGCTGAGCCATCTCTCCAGCCCCCATATACTCATATTCTTTATAAAGACTGGTAAAAGCTGCAGAGATGTGCCCAGAACATGCCTGATGAACACGCCTGGAAACAATTTCTCAGCATATCCAGCCTTCCTTTCATATGAATTATCAAATTCATAGGCATGTGTGGGGCTTTTTAAACATCCACTCCCTCGTCTGTGAAGAGGGAAAAGTATCGGAGGGTGAAACTGGATGTGAACTGTGAATCTAAGAAAGAAAATGAAGTTTCACTTGTGCAAGCTTTTTGTTTGTAGAGACTGGCAGAAGCTGGGGCCAGAAGACACATGGAATATGCATCTAGATGGCAGGAGATGGTTATTCCACGTGGCATCTGTCTCAATAGTATATGTTATAGGAGCAAACAGACATTAAAGAGTACAGATTCATTTTAACATATTCTTTGCTATGAATATGTAAACAGAGTTAGTATGTGCACAGAATGTGAAAACCCATGACAAATGCTGAAGTTAAGATTTTTCTTATATCAGGGGCCTGGTGTACAAAAGCCTGTAATTCTAGCTACTTGGAGACTGAGGTGGGAGGACTGAAAGTCAAGCCCTGCCTAAGCTACAGAGGGAATTCAAAGCCAGCCTGGACAACTTAGTTGAAACCTTATCTAAAATTAAAAAGTGTAAAAAGAGGGCTAGGACTATAGCTTAGTGGTCAAGCACTTGCCTAACATGCATGAAGACGCTTGGTTCAATCCCCAATACCACACTTTTTCTCTTTTGAATATATAAAAAGTTATGATAACTGCAGTCAACATTAGTTAAGCCCATGCTATGAGCCAGGCCCTACCAGAAATGTCATGGCATTATCTTGGTATATACCTGCAACAGTCACATCAAGGAGATAAGGATATGGAGATTTAGCCTAAGTTACTGACAGTGACAGAGCAGGAATTCAAGTTCCCCTTCCTAAAAAAGAAGACTCCTGGTTCTAATCAGGTGAGGTGCACTCAAGGTAGCACTTACCTCTCTGGGCTAGACTTGAGTGAGGAAGAGCGGGCTGGGAGGGGGAGTGTGGCCGATCTCTTAACTACCTTCTCACCGTCGATATAGTTCATCTCACTTTTCGAACGAGGCACAGAAAGGGGAGATTTTGCTGGAGAAAGAAAGTATATAAAACATATTTTAGAATCTAGTGAAAACTAAACTCAGAAGATGTCTCCTCCACCATCCTCCCTTCCTCCCCCACAAGCAGGAGATGTAGTCACTTACTGTCTTCAGAAAAGGAGTATCGAGGAGAGTACAGATCCGAGTCATCATCTAGTAAACAAATAAGAACGTAATCAGGAGGACCCTGCTAAGGTAAGAGAACCCAAGTGCATGTTGGTCCTCACTTCCAGTCCTGCAGAGCATCCAACCACAGGGAACCCAGCAGAGAGAGGACTCAAGCCTGAGGCTACATCACAAAGACCACCGAAGAACAGTGAGGTCTGCAGAGTCCATGTGACCCAACAGGGCCTGCAGTCTAGGCAGGACCTTCATCATACCCAGCAGTAACTGCTGCCAGACACCCAGAAATGTACAGGAACAAATAGCCAAAGGTCCTCAGAAGAAAAAGGCCCACCACCAAAGCTGGAATGCAAGGTCCCGAGTCTGGCTGAGTGGGAAGTGGGGACTACTACTGGGTGGGAAGAAAAAGCCCAGAGAATATGGTTGCTACCTCCTCACCTCGGCTTTGACCTGTCTTATATGTCAAAGTTCTTCAGACAACACAATTAACAAACAACTTCTGTAGCTAAGAAGAGTTCAAGAAAACCTGCATTAAATCTGTTTTGACTCCATCTCAGCTTGGCTACATAAGTTGATTTCTTTCCTCAGAACCCAACACATCCATGGCTGATGCTCTAGGGTCTGCTCTGCCAAGGTACTGCTCAGGGTAAATATTCAAAGTGAGCCTGAACAAATCAAACCCACATGAGTGTCTATGATACGCAACAGGCTCTTTGAGGGTGCAGCACATGCCCCTAAATAAAGTAAATGCTAAGCTATGAAATCACTGAACCACGACAGGCTTGAACTCCTCCTCTAATCCAACCACAGACCCACTTACAAGAACAGATTTCTAAAAGCGATCTGTCCTAAAGTACAGGATATTCAGTCAGGACATCTATGGTAATCCTTCCAAAGCAATCTTCTCCAGACAACCTGAAAGTCTAACATCTTGCTAATCTGAGTTCACAATTCATGCACATAGAACAAAGATCCAGTTCCTTCCCTTAGGATCCATAACAACTTCAGCAAAACACATAACCTAACCAGCAAAGACAAGTCAAAGGATCTGATATGCTGTGTTAATAACAATGTTAATCAAGTCCTGGTTTCTAAGCAAACTAAGTTTAAAGAAGAAAAGGGTAGAATATTTTATGAAATGTAAATAAAGCTAACGCTATTACTGTTTTGAGTAGAGTGGTATTCAAAGATGGTCTCTACCTTTCCCTCCGTCCCCTTTCTCTGTTTTCACTTGTCCCAGGTGTCCCCTAGACTAGATAATGGATAGGCACCAAGGTACCATGGTACCTTTTGCAGTTCCCACCTCCCTTTTATCTTTGCAAGAATTAGTCAACACCAAGGTTAAACAGAGATAAAGATTCTTTACCAACACAGCCAAGTCTTTTTTTTCCTTCTCTTTTTGGGAGGCTAGAAAAGGGTCAGGGTCATGTATACATCTCAAGCTAGCCTCTAACTCATAATCCTCCTGTCTCAGCCTCCTGAGTGCTGGGACTGTAGGCATACATCACCACAATTTGCCAGCCTTTTATTATTATAAATTGAATAAATTTATTTATGTTAATTTCTGAGAACAGGGTAGTGTGAGAATGAAGTGGAATCAGAAATATATTTTTTGAAAAACTGTTCTGCAGAATATTGTG